GTGAAAAATCTCCAGAACGGAATTTGCGAAACCAATTTTGACACTGTCTTCCTTTTAAGGCTTCATCACCATACACATCTCGTAACTTTTTAGCAACCTGCTCCGCGTTTTTTCCTTTACGGAAATAATAAAGTAAAATATGACGAAAATGCTCCTTTGTGGGCTCCATATTAAAATTGACGCCAAAAAAACAAATGTAAACAAAATTTCGCGCACTTTTTTTCTAAAGCAAGCTAAAAGTAACAGCTGTAACTGACAGAAGAAAGAATGCATTTACAGAGTTACAAGCCGTTGAAAAATTTGTCAACGCCGACTACATGAAAAATCCGCAATTACTTTTTGGGCAACCCAATATATTAAAAACAGTATTTAGTATTGAAATTCACAACATCTGTTATAGATACCAGGAAAACATCGAATAGAACAGGGTGCGGTTAGCTGATGGGCAATAATAATTGATACCAATCTTCTCTGAACCGCTTTCGGTGTGTGTGCAACTTTTACAGTTCGTTACTGACTAACTCTTTCTAACATTTCTCATTGAACAGAGCTAATATACGAGGTGTGACAATTAAGTAATGAGACTGATTATATTGCCGCGATTATGGTAACCCAGCGATCTTGAAATTATGTTTCCCTTCTCTCCTCATCCTTCTCCTCTCCATTGATATATTTGCTATCGCTCTAGATTGTTTTGTTCGCCTGCTGTGTCGTGTTGAGTAAACGTGTGTTCGTGGTGCTCGTCACGAATATGGAAAAACGAAATCAAGAGCAACGCGTCGTGATGAAATTTCGCGCCAAATTGGACAATTGGACGAGAACACGTCGTGCCACCATAGCGCGTCCCAGTATTTGGCCTTTAAAGGGATCGCCGTGTTGCAACAACCGCTTATTCGCCCGGCATGTCACCCTGTGATTTTTTCCCCCAGAACAAAATCGCTTCTCAAAGGAAACCATTTTGAGTCGATTGACGCCGTGACGAGCGTACTCGCGGACATCCCCATCGAAGCATTCCAAAAATGTTAGGAAATATGCGCTGGAAACGTTATATAGCTGCCCAAGGGGACTACTTCGAAGGGGGTGACAGAGTTGTAGAATAATTTTGAAATATACGGTTTTCAGTCTCATTAATTGTCACACCTCGTATGGATGCGTAAAAATTTTGAAACAATTTCGAATTGTCGGTGTTGGGAAATAGCAACGCCCCTAAACGGGTTGAAATAGCCACCTTCACAGACGGCTCGAAGCTTGATGGGAAGGTAGATTGAGGAATTTATTCTCCTGTGCTCTCATTAAGCATGAGCATGAGAATACCGGACCACTGCAGCGTTTTCCAGGCGGAGCTCTTTACAATCATGGAGGCCGCAAAGTGGTTGCACAAATCTACGATAGCAGGACAATCGGTTACAATTTCATCCGACAGTGGTCATAAATTGTAGGAACTTTCTTCACAAACTCTCAACGAAGTACAATATTGGATTTGTCTAGGTACCTGGACACAGGGACATCTCAGGCAATTGCATAGCTAACTAGCAAGGGAAAGAATCCCTCTATCTACGATAAAACATGCTGGCTTACCTCTGTCCACGGCAAAGTAGATGCTAAAACTGGCTTTTACCAGTGAAGCTGACTTAAGATGGTTGAGCGAGATCACGTGCAAAAGGACCAGACAGCCATGGCCAAAATTGGACGCGAAAAAATCAAAACATCTTATCCTTTTAGACGGTTTTCCATTAACATACCGACAAGCATAATAACTGGACACTGTTTAATGGGGTTTCGTTGCCTTTATAAGACACACGAAATGGTCCTATTGGCCTAAGCGTAGTGGTGGTGACCAGCAGCCGCATCAACTCAACTTTTAAGGCTCCGCCTGAATAATTGAAATTGAAATTTGAATATCAAAGACAAATAATTGAGATGTCACTTCATTGCACCTCTGTAATTTTTCCAATGAGAGGTGTAATTTTGATATTCAAAGAAGCTTTTCACTTATAAGACCAAAATGGAAAGTAAACGTTATCCAGATCAATACCATTCAACTGCGGCCGTAAAAAATTCATAAATTAACATCCAGTGACTGCCTCTTATTGGAAAACTCCTTATATTCTACACATATGTATCTCCTAACGGGCAAAGTAACCGCTGAACCGATTTTCGGCCTAGCACCTTCCCACATCAGTACATAACTTTTGATGAACAAAAAATCGAAAATAATTAAAATTAAAGAAGGGCTGAGTTAACATTTTGGTCGATATTTAAGATACATTTTCTAATAAATTTTTTAAGTTTTCCACCGAAGGAAAAAGGAACATTTTCAACAATTTTTCGCTTGTGTTAACTTATTTCCTTTATCAATTAACACTACTAAGTACTCCTCTTTACAATTTCCGAAATCTCTTTAATGGGTTTCTCTTCTTCCCGTAACTGAATAATTTTCGAATTTCAGGAGAAGTAGTATGAGTACATGGGGGTTATACTGACAAACTGAACGACAACTACTATTACATAAAAAAATATTCAATGTTTATTTGTGTGAAACTCCACAAAGCTTAAATACTCGCATATCGTTACTTCTTTAGTTTAGCGCTGCGAATTATTTAAGTACGATTTTAAGTCTCAATTAAAGTACACAATTTTTGCTTTCAGTTGATATATCATACAAGTGTTATACTCGTACATTTGTATATGATCTTAAGGAATTTCTCTTTATGATAGAATGTTGCCAATATCGGCATTGCACGCATCTGCTTACATTAAGTTTGAGTATTCTGTTTGAATTCTGCAAAATCTTGAACACGTAATTCCAGAGACTAGAACCATTAATAAACCACGTAGACTGTATAAAATGGGGGAAGCTAAGCTTAAATGCTCCGTTGAGCCGCTTTATGGCTGGAATGGTGAGAGCAAAACTATGTAATTTTCTTCGAAAGAAAATGTTTTCGAATATAATTAGGGTATTCTCTTAGGCTGGGGGAATTTCATGCTAGAGAGCACGAATCGTAAAATTTTCCTATATTACGTCGAAAAAATATCCAAAAGTATTTACGTAGTATATTCATTTCCCACCGTTTGCAAGTAGAAAAAAGTAACCTGTGTCGGCTAATTGTTTTTGTTTGTATTGAATTCGACACAATAATGAATCGTGGGTCTCTAACAAATTTTCCCCCTATTATTTAGCGCACAGATATTATATTTTTCAGAATGAATTATAAATACATTGTTTGAGAAATAATGAACTGTAAACAAATTCATTTATTTGAGAGTGACGTACCCATTACAATTAACGGTTAACAAAAATCATCATTATTCATATAAAATGGAATTTAATGCATTTACATATTGTTCACATAGACAAGTTCCGATTCCTATGATCAGCAGAATATAATCATATAATTTTGCCCATCTCGCTTGTTCCGATTTGATAGTGAAATGGTCAAACGTTCAACAATCGACTGATTGAATCTGTCACGAATGTAGTAAATTCTTTTTGGTACACGTTGCGATCCAAAATATGAAGTGGAATTTTGGTACTCTTTATTTATTTATTTATTTTTATTTCTTTCTCAAATAATTACCTATCAGATTGGCGATATGAATTTGTTTCAAAATGTCTGCCAAATTAGATTAAGTTTAAAATTGAAATAGTTCAGTGTTCAATATCAGATTTGGTTTACGCTGATTAAGCTGATATTTTAATTAGTGTATTTTTTTACTGCTATTCCCAACGGTTTTCCACCTACCGCCCATGCTTACGAGCGGCTAGGTCCGCTTGATGTACGGAACCTTTTTATTTATTCATTTATTATTATATCAAAAATCGGGTAACGATGCAAAGGAGTTTATTAAGTGTTGAAAATCAAAAAAAATCGACTACAGAACAAATCGGATGACTTTAAAGAAGTGATTTAATTCAAATATAAAATATTATTTAATGCTTAACTGAGAGCCGAAAAAAATATTTTCCTTATATGAAAGACCGAGTCCGATATGTCAATACTAGAACTATTAAAATTCCAAATTCTGCTTACAAGTTTTCAGAATAAAGCGTCAAAAATACTGAATGTTGTCATGGGAGCATTAAATTTGAATTCATAAAGAAGTAAAGCACTAAAATATGGGGCCTGCTATCTACATATTTCCCTACGACTGGCGTCGAATGGAGAGATTAACAAGTTTCAGACGACTACTATAAAGAAGAAGATTATATTGAGAGTCCTCATATAAAATTCTCAAAAGAAATGGATAAATTGTGGAATTTTGTATAGATTCTCTTCGATCAGACAAGATTTGATGCCAGGGGCTCCTCGATAATTCGGAGTCAGGTTAGGTTTTTGTGAACAAAGTTTTGGCATATGAAATGCGTTTTGCAAATACCAACAAACGTTTGCTCCACATTGTAGTTATCTACAGTGTCTGTACGGTTCGTCGGGAGGAGCCCATAACTTTATATTTTTTAAGACTTCAGCGCAAAGGCGTCTATTTGGCGACTGTGGCAGCCGAGTGGCTAGCATTGTGTGCTGCCATTCGGAAGGCTCGATTTCAAATACTGGTGTCGTACTAACGTTCAAAAAGTCATAGAAACTTAATTTAAATTAAAAATTAAGCAAAATTTTGTAATTGGTGTCCCCCCTCCGCGGGGAATGTCAACCCCTCGGAATGTATTTCTGACATGAAATAAAGCTCCTCAGTCGTCCGGAGGCGACTTAGTACAAATTGGAGGAGAAGCTCGGCCGATGCTCGGCAATGCGCCAATTATAAATATATAAAATTTAATATTTGAATTAATTTTTCATTATCGACGTGTGAATTTTTTACCTCCGAGGAATGACTGATGGATTTTTATTTCATGTCAGGGGTTCACGTTTTCTTCCGTACTTAAACCGTAGTTAACTTATTTTTTCCGAAAGCGAACTAACATAACTTTCAATTGAATTATGTAATATTTTATGAAATGTTTGGTTTTGGCTAAAAAATTGTATATGTATATTTTTACGTACGTGTAATAATTATTGCGAAGAATTTCATGTTTTTTCAATTGAGTTTCACTGCAACAAGAAATGACTCAGGCGATTCTATACGTAGTTGAGTGTTGTGTTATTTGCCCCGTTTTAGGTGTATAATCCGTTAGAGTGTGTAATTTTTGATTATAATTATTCACTTATTTCAGAAAACTTTGTGGCGCAGTATCCAATTTACACTTTTGAATGATTACTCTTGAATGTGTATCAATTTATGTGAGCAGGTAAGTTTTTTTTTGCGGCAATCGATATAATTTTCACACGTGTACAATTTGTCTATTTTAAAATCTATATTTATATACTTTTTAAGTATAAAATCAAAAATTCATCACAAACACTAACGTTCGGTAATAGCAAAAGTTTTTTTTTTTTAAATACTAGCGTCTCTTTCCGGCTCTAATAAACGCACAATACTGCGGATGAAAGCAAACTGATTCGATCGATGGACCGTAAAATGCGCGATTGGTCGCCTAAGTTCGCAATCGAAAGCGATCAATTGAACCACAAATATTTTACTGCATACACACACTCAAACACACACACTTATACAGCAACACTCGCTGATGATCGCAATGTGAGATATCTTTTCACAAGGCATACAGATGAAGGAGACTCGACCCTGGTAACAACAGTATCCTCCGTGGTCAAGGCAAAAAGTATTAGAAACTAACTTCAAGCCTGTACGAGTATAACGAACGCAGATATGATGTTGCTTTGCGCCTGTTGCTGTGCATATATTTATTTGGTTATATATATGTGGCTTTTACAATGCTGCAAGCTTAACTGAAGGTATTCACACACATGTATATATATATGTACTCGTATGCATGCCTAAAGGTACTGTGTGCGGTATCTCCACATTTACGTTTGATCCTCCGCTAGAATTTTTGCTTGTTGAAGTTTATTTGGAGACGTTTATTGATTGTCGTATAATGGATACAAGTCTGCCAGGCAGGAAGAGTTTGAACGTTTGAACACTTGAATGAACAATCGATCAATCAACCGCAGCCAATACTGTCGCACACGTAGGCACTCGTACGAAAGAATCACAGTGGATTGCTAAGAGTTCGTTAGTTTTATAGAATATTTACGGCACAGCAGAGCAGCACAGCGACTTCGCGACTCAACGGAACTGCGGATCAATGGATCAGCGACTCAATGGCTCAACAGAAAAGCTGCTTACAACACATACGTGTATGTATATACATTCAAATGTATATGTATACATGTGTACATCAAATGAATACATCTACAAATGCCGGCTAATGGTTAATCGATTCATCGACGTGATTATGTGCCTTATTGTTGTTGTTATTAGTAGAAATTTCTGATGCGTTCACGATCGTATAGTGGCTGAGGCTGCGGTTGGGGCTATGAAGTTGACGTCAGCAGCGACAACAGCAACAGCAACAGCTTTGCCTCTTATAAATGGTAGGTAAACGACGGGATAATTCTAGGGCGTTGGTTAATGTTGAATGGTGCTGGAATTTGTTGAGTGTTAGTTGAGATTTTGCAGTAAGATTTCTTTGGCGGTATCGTGTATGCATATGTACTGTATGTGTGCTGTTGCTCAAAAAATGGAGAAGAAAAAAACAGAATTTTGCGAATTTAGTCGGTCGGGCTTATGATCAGCGCGCAAATAAAGCTAGTGAGTTCGATCTAATTTGTAGTCCTATTTGAACACACATATATGTTCATAGTTTTTCCCGCATTGATTTTTGAATTATGTTGAAATATTACGCATCACTTTTTAATTTTTATTTTAGTTTAAGTAAATTAATTAAATTAAAATTAATTTAATAGTTCCCAAAAAGTTTCAATAAAACAAATTACTTGTTTTTATTTTTTGTTTTTTTTTTTTTTATTATATTTACACTTCAATTTGGTACAGTTTTTTTACTTTTTCTTAGTAAATGAAAATATTTTTCACGCGTTGTCAATTCGTTCACGTTCTGCTCTTCACTGAATGTCCAATATTTGCAAATAAGTATTTTTTCATATTTTCCTCCTATCGTGTGAAAACAATAAATCATTTAGTATTGTGATAGTAGTGCGTGCGTATGTACATACATAGTACATATGTATCCCTCATTAATGTTTTTTCGTCTCGCCACTATCTTTGACTTTGACTTTGCCTTCGCACTCATATTTCTTTTCTTTTATTCGTCATCCCTGTGCAACTGCTGTTACTTTGGCCGTTTTCGCTGGTGATTATCTTGAAAAGATTATTTCTTGCTCTTAATAACTTCTCATAGCGTCACAGCGTTTTCTGGCTGAAACATATTCTTGATCAACAAACGAATATATGTACATACTCGTACGTATTTGTCTTTTGTCGGCAGCGCCTAGTTCTTTCTCGCAATGTCTTATCGTCAAAGTTATTCGAGTGCAGGAATATTTGGAATTCCTTAATGGCTTACGCTGACAAATTGACATTAGATTAATCCGGGCAAGAATTCAGTTATTGGTAAAAGGAATTTTAAGCGGAAAATTGTAGCGTAAAAAAGAGTTCATTGCACAATCACTTTCACAATCACAATTTTCGATAAGCGGCGATGACTAAGCTCGGGCGAAACTGATAATCTGACCTAAGATCTGAAGGCTGTTATAACCGAGTAGTCAGCATTGCGTACTGCCATTCTGAAGGCCAGGATTCCAGGGTTCCTGGTTCGACTAACATCCAAAATTATAGAAAATTCACTTTTCTAATTTACGTCGCCGCTCGTTACGAAATGTCAACCCCTCCGTGTGTATTTCTGACATGAAATAAACTCTCCTCATAAAAAATTCATCAGCCGTTGAGAGACGGTTTCGTATAAGCTGTATGTCCCTCCATTTTATGGAAAAACACCAAGACATAACACCACAAATTGGAAGAGGAGCTCGCGCGAATACAAAATGAACGAGGACAAGACGAAATATCTCCTGACGTTAAATAAACAGTCATCGCATTCGCTGTCGTAGATAATTTCGTCTATGTAGAGACGATAGTATTGACATTGTTCAGCGAATGAAGGTCATGTCGTCTGATTTAATGAAAGCACTCCAGCTTTGAAAGTATTCGATGCAGTATTGATTGGTGGAAGCAGAGGAAGAAGAAGACCACCACTCCGTTGGAAGGGTCTGGTGGAGAGTGACCTGGTTTTATTTGGTGTTTCCAAGAAATGATGAATGGCACAAAAATATTAACACGGCTATAAGCACCGACCGCAGTGGCCGAGTAGTTCAAATCCTGGTGCGACCAACATCCAAAAATTTATATAGAAAATTTATTTAAATAAAAAATTAAGTTAAATTTTCTAATTGCGGTCGATCCACGGTATGTCAACCCCTCGGGGTGTAATTCTGACATGAAATAAAGGCTGCACATAAAAAAACCACCAGCCGAAAATCGCTCTAGCGGGTACCAAGTGCCAACTATATATAATCGCCAAAAAAGAAGACGAAGAAGACAGGCGCACAATAAAGAGTCCAGCGGTGGCAAAATTTACGATTTTGGAGTCCACGCCATAGACCCACGAGGCGAGACAATTCGCACATCAAAAGTTTCATTCAATAAACTGATCGTTTCGTTAAATATATATCTGGTACAGCCGTCTTGTTGGAGCCAAAGTTCGTCGACGTCAACATTCTCCAATTCAGGCACGAAAATGTCATTAACCACGGCTGTGTATTGTAGTATTTCTAGTGACTGTAAAATTCTGCTCTGCTTCATTTTTGAATAAATACGGACTAATGATGTCTTCTCCAATGGGCAATGGTTTTCGAATTATCGAATTGAAATCAGGATCGGTGGCCATTTCGTATTGGACCCATTTACCGATCGTACGACGCGCTTTGATGGTCGTTCTCTTTCAAACTCTTTCACGAGTAAATCTGCAAATCAAGATTCTTCCGCGAAATCTTCCGCAAAGTGAATGTGTTCGGAGCTGTTACGCGCTGTGGCGGACGGACTTATTCTGGTCTTCTGCGATACTCTGCTATAAAACAGCAACAGCGTCTTTGATGCGCCCTTTACGGCATCTCTGACGATGGCATGCGTCGCGGAAACCAAACTTTTATTTTGCTAACAAATTTGACTTATTTGCAAACGTTGCTCCGGAGTAAATCTGTTCATTATGAAATACAAAACAAACTGAAACCCACATGGCCAAAAAAAAAAAACATCCTTTATGATTGAAGCTGCGGGACAAATTTACATTCTTTTGCACAGATATCATTGCACTATATTGAACCAAGGTCTAAAACCACTTGATGTCTTCAGGTTGGCCCAAAAATCACCTTTTTTGTAATATAATTTTGTGCTCTGTAAAAAGGTCTGATGATCTAGAATTTGTTTTAAAACTCATACGAAACGGTTAAAAGGTTGCAAACAGCATTTTTGTTGCAGATCTGTTTAATTACAGTTATTTCAAAAGTGTTTTTAACATTTTTCCTTATTTACACAGAGGCTCGTTTTCTAGTTCCTAAAACATCATGTATCTATTTATTACTTAGAAGATCAATAAATACAATACTTCCCGTCTGATTTTAGTTAGTTTTTTTGTTTATAATTCATGAATCGCTCTTGGGTTAGATCAGCCCTATACAGATATCCTTCTCGAGGGCTACGGCGTTAAACAAAACTGTCTCGTGTGGAGCTCGTAAAACTCAATGTTTCTTATTGAAAAATCTCTGCATTCTCAAAGAGGCGTTAATCAATTAATTAAATGGAATCTTATCAATCTTTTAAGAGTAAAGTTTCTTTGAATATCAAAAAGATTACAGAAAGTAACAAAATAGGCATTTTATTCTTTAATAAATCAACATTAACCGCCATTTTAAAGCCACCTAATTTTCATCAGAATATTTTACACAAATTTGTTTGCAACCTTAAATTAATTTATGTCCATACATGCATACATATATTTTTTTTCTATAGTCACGTTTTCACTATTTACCAGTTCAAGTAAGTGAAGTGACGCGTTGAGGAATCAGAGCGCATTTGAGCTGATAACGAAATTTACGGAAAGCAGCAAGAAGATTCTTAATAAAAGCAATAAATTTAAGCGTAATAGAGTGTACGAATGTATGTTTTGTATATACAAATATATTTGAGTACCATTTCGATTTGCACAAGTATTTATTTATATTGATTATCTCATTATTCGACCGTTATTATGAGACAAATTTGGTATGCGCAATAGAATATTCGGAGCCACTCAACCTAAATTGATATTGTCTACAGTATACGTATGTGTATGGATGTGTGTATGCAAGTATCGCTGGAATATAATCATTATTGCGTAATGAAATAAATTAATTTTCTGACAATAAAAAGCATAAGTAATTAGAAGATTTCTGCAAAAAATTAGGAATCCCCCAACTCTGTTTTTATTTTCGAATTATTATTTTTCGAAGCAAAACAATGTTTTTATTTACTTTTATTATTTATTATTCTTTATATATTATATAAAATAGCTTGATTAATCCTAAATTTCAGCCAGCCGCTGCACCAATAATTTTAAAAGAATATTAAAATAATTTTTTATTTTTTTTATTTTATACAGCGTTTTCATACTTTATTATTTTGGTTTCGTTAAATACTTTTGATTCTACTTTGCTGGCATAGGCAGAGCTTGCGCGATTGTAGACGAGTTAACAACAACACCAAGTGCTCCTGGGTTCCTTTTCATCTGTACTTTCCAATATAAAGCTATCACCGGCGAGTACTGCACCGAACACTTTCAATGCTCAAGTATTCTCATTTTTGTATACGGAGAACATGCCCTAGTTAGAGTGGCCACTGCCTCTTGAGGTATTGAACTATGTATTTCAGACTCATTGTATTCGTATTCGTAGAACTCATCGTTTCATCGGCGCTGCTGAAGCGCAGTAAATCTTCTGACAAATATTTATTTCAGAAACTTTTTATGCCAACTCATGAGTTGTTGTCATCTTCGAAAGCTCTCGCTGCATACAGCAGCAGGGAAATGTTGAGTGGTTTCTAGAGTTTGTTCGACCAGAGAGGACTTTACTTTTTAAATACCTACTCAGTCTAAAGTAGCATCTTTAGGCAGAATGTTGACTGGTTCCAAGATAGCCAAAAAAATTATCTACAACTCTAAAGTTATCAAGCAGTCATGACAGGAATTATTTCGACTGAAATTGGTAAAGAGATGGTGTTTTTTGCACGCATTTTTTCCAATACTTGGCGGATTGTAAATATCTGGTCAAAGTGGATTTATCATGCATAAAGCCACACTGACAAGGTATTTTCAGCTAGTTGACGGTGGGCTTTAATCTTTCACACAATACGATCGATAGAATCTTATATGCGATATTGAGGTGGCTTATCCCACTGTGCATAACCCATGCTTTCGTCTGTCCATATTTCGCAAAGAAAAGGGAGTGATCACCATCATCTTCGTGTGATGTTTCGGGTTCGCCGAGCTCCAATTATGCATGCTGCAGAAGTGTAATTCCTATGAGCTCAGTATGTTTTGAACATCGGTCACCAGATCGGCTCGTATCCATAAGTGTATGCTGCGGTATTGAGCTGATTTTGATCTCTTTATACTCACTCATCTCTTTGTACTCACTGATTTCAGTACCTTTAACAAGGGAAACCCATTGTCTTTTAATTCTCAGTTTATATATCAGTTATTTATAATTTTTCTTATATAGAAAAGTGTTACTATGAACTATATTTCGGGCTCTGGCAAATTAGATCAGTTTTAACCCATTTGGGAATGTTTCGTTGGGGGGCTGAATTTTCTGATCGTTGTGTCGATGATATCTTCTTCGTTCACCCTGGCGCTAAAGTCGCCAAGCATAGTCGATTTTTGGCGGACTTTCATAGACTTTTTCAGTCTCACTTCCATCACGAATCCTAGACCAAATTTACGATCTTTTATATGTTTCCTCGCAATCCCGTCCATTGCATCTCCTGGACGGCGGTGATATTAGCCTTTATTCTTACGAGGATTTAAATCAGCTGGGCAGTGGCATCTTCCTAATTAAGAGACCGAAAGTCCTAGGTGTATGCTCTAAAATCTAAATATATATAATACAATTACTATAGTTGCCATTAAAAGAGGAGTTTCTCATCCGACTTGTTGTTAAATTTGAGCTCTTTTCTATGTGGCTCGTCCTAGAATTGTGTAATTGATATTAAAGTTAACTGATAGAATTATTCGGGTATAAGTAGAAATAAAAAGCCAGAGGAGATTTAATTTTAAAAATAAATTCGTGTTGAGGTTTTCTTCCATTACCCAAACGGCAAATATTTCCACCAGTTTGCGTCCCATAAAACAAAAACTTCGTGTGTAACACAATATACTGTTATAGTGCATGCCTAAGGCAAATATTATGTGGTACATATATTTTGTTTGAATATCTTCAATTGAGCTTTAGTAAATTAGATTTAAAAATTGCTCGACTACAACTAATTACAAGAAAAATTATTAATTATATAATTATTTCATATGCAAATAAGATTGCTTGGTCTACTGTTCATGGTTGTAATAACAGAGCCACTCCTGCTAATGTCCACTTTCCAGGCTTATCCTTGGTTTTCAAATTAAAGGTCCAAACGTAAGTAGGTCCACGGGTTCGTGTCTTATACAAAGGACATTCGTACATATTGCGCAAGTCCTGTTTGTCCTGTGTAATTGCCTGTAAATTGAAATAAAACAACTTAATTTTTATCGTATTAAAGAAAGTTCTCTTATAAAATATATCATAAAAGGTTTTCCAATAAGAGGGGTTATTTTAAATAGCTTGCTTTGCCGGTAGATGTCACACTTGAAGCTGACATTTGGTGCGGTTAATACTCCGGAGAGTTTATTGGAGAGATTATTAAAGTTTTTTTTTTATGGCCGCAATTGGTTGGTATTGATTTGGACAACGCTTACTTTCAACAAGGCTGCGCTAAGTGCTACACAAGGAACGAAACCATTGATCTTTTGGGGGGAAAGGTTTCCTTTAATATCAAAATAACACCTCTTATTCCAAAACCCTGTATGAAAAGGTAAGGAGTAATGTATGTATGTAGTTCCTCAAAACAGTAGTCTCTAGAATGGGCCTGGTTTATCAAAGTTTGTGAATTTCACAAAAGAAGTCATTGGCTCGGGATATCAAGTCATATCCAAATATTTAGAACAACTTGTATTGATATTAACTCAAAGTAAAAACATTAAAATCAATATATGTATAGAAGCCCTACCTCTTTATGTATATGTATGACTGGGGAATTAAATATAAAATATCTCATAAAATTATAATTTATAGTAATTGTAAAGTTTTTTTGTGAGACTGGCAGTAGAGGATAAATTGTGATCTCTTAATGAGATTAGTACCAGATCAAGCACTTCAACACATAAGGTAAGTTAAGAGAAAAATGTGAGATGCTAAACGTTTCAAGATTTTACTTGAAGCCAAATACGAAACTGTTAAAAAGTTTTTTAAGCATCAGCTCAGTCAGTGCCGTCTCTATAAAAGTCCCAGCCAAGAACAAATGGAAAAACGCAGCATTTCTGGCTCATATATCCGTAGCGACCTTTCACCGAAGGCTCTAACTTATATGGTACTAGATCCTAAAATACCGAGGCCATCGCCTACTCGACTGCTTTCCACGTTTGAAGTCTGCAAGCAAAATTTTTTATTGTTGCCTTAAATTACCACTTCGCCTAAATGGTATTTATCGAAATGAAAAAGTGGTGTGAAATTAAAACACAAATTTCAATTTGACCAAATTTTTTGGAAATAATAGAAGTAGTCATTCTTAGCATCATAATTAAAAAAAAAACTTATACAAGATTTTTAATGAAATGAAATGAAACTTTTCCGACTCGTTGAAAGTAAACGTTGCCCAGTTCAATACCATGCAATTAGGGCCATTAAAAATCTTTGCTTATCCATCGATAACACAATCCATTCATTTTTGAAAAAATAATGCCCAATAATACAGTCGAATCATAAACTGTACCAAATGGTTACTCTTTGAGAATGCAGAGGGTTTTCAGCAATAAATATTGCGTTTTACGAGCTCCACGTGCGACAGTTGTGCTTATCGACGTAGCCATCGAGGTGGAAATGGCCTCATCAGCCAAGATGATTTTTCGATGAAATCCTTTATATTGAATTTTACTAATTTCAATGCATTGTTGAAGAGTGTATCCCCTTTTTGTTATTAGTTTGTTACTAGCGTCTATAGTTTTTACTTGCCAAATGTCAAAAAATTACAGGCGACATCCACCGGAATAGCATTCTATTCAAAATAACACCACTTTCCGGACTTTCCAATAGCCCACTGGTGCTTCTACGACCATGTTCGAAGTCAGCTGATTTCAAATTTCATCACTTCGTCGGTGTTTTCCTCTCAAAAAGTAATGTCAAATTAAAACACGTATTTTGATCTGATCTATTCTTTTGGAAAAAAACAAAACTGGCGCCATTCTTAGCATCTTAGCAACTAACTTATATTCGAATATCTTTTGAATGTTAGTATTAACTAACTAATAAGCCAATAAAACCACCGCCATCTAGGAGCCCACGTGTTACCAAAAGTTTCCAAAGCCAAATGAAACCACCCAATTTTGTTGCGATCGGTCCAAAACGGCAACGCTGATTGACACTGAAAACCATCGATCGTCATGTTCATGAAAGATATTAAGATTTCGGCATGGTAAAGACAGCAATACCTTGATTTTTTTTGTAATACTCATTGCTTGATTAAAGTATGCACTTTGATGAAAATTTCAATCGGTTATTGACATTATTGGTATGAGTCTTTCACAAATATATGCGCATATATTTACGCACATAAAATTTTCATGAAATCATAAATATGTAGGATATAGGTACATATGTTTATAATCGTATATGTTTGTATGTATGTACTACCATTATACAAAATTTATATGTATGTATGTGCATATGTATGTATTTCAACCTTTAAATTTAAAATGCATACATGTGCCGCCAAGAATTTGAATTTCATTTAGCGTCAACGCCATGGCGCCAGAATCCAAGCAAGCTATAACACCGCCCCCAACCCATTTTGGAGTCATTTAGTAGTGTCACCTCAGCGTCATTACCACGATTTTTAAAGACGCCAGACAAATATTCTATTTTTCTCTAATTTCTATAGTTATTTGCAATTTTCTAAGGTCAATTTATTCGCACACCATTTAGTTTCAAACACGTATGAACACATACTGACATATGTACATACACGTATGTACTCGTACATATCAATTTACATAGATATGTATGTATGTATTTATAAAAGTAAATATCTATAAACATTCATCGGTAGGCGCCTAGGTAATTGCCGCCAAGTGGGAATCCACAGCTCACGTTGACGTTAGCGGCTCTGGTAACGTCAAGAGCTTATGGAATCAGAAGTTGCTTATTGAATCCATTAGCCTTCACTCGCACTCGCACTCCATTTCCTTTTTCGTTCATTATACACATACATATGTAAGTATGTACATTTATCTGCACATACGTGTATGTATGTATGAATATGAGATTTGCAAACATTTTGAAGCTAAAACAAAATAAAAATTAAAAAAAAAAGCAAAATTCACGTACCCGAATATTTATAACTGGCATTGGTGGATAGAGTTCTTTGAGACGCGATTCCATTATAATGCCTTGTTGTACATCCCATCTGGCGCCTTCCATAAATATCCCATGAACGTAGGCGCCCTCACGTGGCGCTGTGCTATAAATACATATGAACGTAAGTAAAAATATAAGAATTAGTTTCGAGTCTTTGATGATATTAGATTTTGCGAATGAATCAGTTCAATACAAAATGCCATGGGACATTGTTTCTAAAAATATCTTTAGTTTAGAGTTGAATTATGCAGATTAAGAGCAACATATATGTACATACATATGTACATATATATGAGTGCATATAACTACAAAGATTTATGTATGTACATATAGATATGTATGTAAACACCAGTACATATATGTATATTCATTTGGCGACCGCAATACCCGAGCACTGCGTACTGTCATTCTGAAGAATAGGGTTCGAGTGATAATTTGACCAAAACCCAAAATTATAGAAAACCTATTTTTCTAATTGCGATCGTCTTTCGGCAGGGAAAGTCAAGCCATACGAGTCTATTTCTGACATGAAATAAAATAGGTCCTCAAAACAATTCAACGGCATTTTCGGAAGCGTTTTGGTATCAACTCTAGGTTCCTCCATTTATTGGGAAAGCCACAAGACGCATATATACAATGGAAAATGACGGAGCTGATCCGCGCACTATTCATACTAAAGAGTTTTCCAATAAAAGGTGCTGTTTTGAATAGCCTGCTCTTCCGGTAGATATTACTTTAGAAGCTGTAATTTTTAGACGTTTGACGTCAATAATAACAGTGGAGCGAGACATACTTCAACAGCGCATTGAAATGATTAAAATTCACTATAAAAATGATGAAAACCTTGCAGACTAAATTCGGTCGTTGTGAAACCAATTGGTGAAAAAAATTGAACTGTTGGCACAAGGTAGTGATGTGAAGAATAAAACACGAGCTCATCGTACTTTTGAATTATTATTACGATTTTGCATACATTTTGGGTCTCAAGACTTACAGCACAAAAACTAAAGTCTATCATCATCAATAACGTCGTGTCTTTGCTGGCTGGATCCGTGAAACGCATGAAAATGTAAAGGAATTTCATCGAAAAATCAACTTTACTGATGAGCCACATTTCCACCTCGATGGTTACATCAATAAGTAAAATTGTCGTATCTGGGGTTCGGAAAAAGCAAGATTTCATTGTTGAAAACCTCTCTACCCTCGACGTGGAACTATTTGGAGCGTTTTACGCTGCGGCGGGGTAATTCGACCTTACTTTTTCGAAAATGAAGCTGGTGCAACGGTTATGGTGAATGGATTGCACTATGGGGAGATGATTACTGTTGCTTTTTATGACCGAAATTGGATGGTACTTTCCTGGACGACGTTGACTTTCAACAAAACGGCGCTGCATGCCGCACACTCAACGGAATCATCGATCTTTCAGAGGAAAATTTTTGCGGACCATGTTGGCCACCGGGATCTTGTGATTTAACATCTGGCAACATCTTGCCTTTGGGCCAGGTGAAAGATAAGGTCTACGCCAACATGCTACTGTCGATTCCATTTGACTGACAATGCTTTCCATTATTAATGGCAAACCTTTCTCTTTACATTGAAATAAACATCTGATCATTTATGTCAAAAATCTAAGTTTTGAAATATTTTTTAGATACTGCTTTGACCAGGACCTGAACCACTGACACTTAACTCATTGCAGTAGTCAGGTAACCATTCACGTACAGCGCCGCATCTAACAATGCACAGGTATGCATTTAAATTGTATACACACACACACACACATACACATACACACACAAACAAATCACTATGCCCTATTGCAAATGAAGTCTTATTGATGATGATGATGATTATTAGCTTGTTGACGTATTTAATGATGTGACAGCGACGCCTCAGTTGCGCTAGCATTCACCGATTATGATGATTTCCATTTCTATTTCCATGCTGTTGGCTATTGACGCCTAGTATTTTTGTCTCGCCATCGATTGGCATCACTTTCGGCGTCATTGGCCGGCGCTTGACACAAACACATTCATGCATATATGTGCACACGTGTGTATATGCATATGTACAAGTATGTAGCGACGATGGCGTCAACATTGTCACGGTACAACTGTCGCGCCTTGCCGCCGCTAACAATTGTGCCAATTTGCTAAATGATTTGTGTGTTTTAATTATATGACTTGTGCGCACTAATTGCCCCTCGTCTTTTGTTTTTAGCAGTGTTTGAATTGCAATTATTTTATACATTTGTACATTTGTACATATGTATTTATGTATGTATATGATTAACAGCAACAATATTTCTACATCTTTTATCTAAGGGAATCCCTAGCAAGTACAGTGTTGCCGAAAATTCAGGTAGAGTGAACAGTCCGCTTTTATATGGGACAGTAAGATTAGCGCTTACTACCTTAGTTCACCGGCGAAATCCATAAAGAAACTATGAAGTAAAAATCTCACTCATCTAAAATGAATAATTTTTTGCGCTTGGTAACCGATGAAGCGATTTTTTGCGATTTGCGTTTAAACTAAGCCGCCTGTGAACGGCTGATGGTTTTTTTATGAAGAACTTTTATTTGATGTCAGAAATACACACGGATGAGTTGACATGCCCTGCCGAGGGGCGACGGCAATTAGAAAATTTAACTTAATTTTTTTATATAAATTAATTTTCTATATTTTTTGGATGTTAGTGAGACACCAGGATTTGCACCCGAGCCTTCATTCGGAAGGCAGTACGCAATGCTAACTACTCGGCAGCCTTTTACAGGGCATTTATTAAGCTGATGTGATACTTTTGTCGGAATTTAGTAAGCAGTCTCTAGTCTTATAGGGATACTTTATATCAAAAAGCATTTTTTTAGACTAAGCAGCATCTAGTAAGTCACAAGTCTCCAAATTAACTTTGAAATAAGGTGTCTCAGAGGTGTTTCCCAATCCTGACAGAGCTTTTTGTGTTGCATATCGTTAGTTTCTTCTGCTTCTTCGTGATGGTGTGTGCAAGTCCTCTTTTCGCGAGTCTGTCTGAAGATTCGTCGCATGGTGAATTTTTGGTCAAAGATGGATTTACCATATCTTAAGTCACACTGATAAGGTCTAATCAATTTGATGATTGATAGCGGACTCGATAGGATTTTATATGCGTTATTAAGGAGGCTTATCCCCGGTGCCGCCTGTGTAATCCACTTTTTGTGGATTGGGCAGTGTTAACTTAGGTTCCAATCATCGAGTAGTTTGTAAAAAAAATCTGCTGCATGCACCTTACCCGTTCTTCACCATCGCACTTGGGTAGTTTTTTCTTCTTCAAGAGAGAAATTGTTGCTCGTCATCGATTGGGGAATCGGGCTCGGCAACACCTGGTGTTCCTTTGCCGGCTGTAGATCCCCTCTCTGAATCCTGCAAGAGTTTGCACCGGTCTTGAAACCCTCTGTAAATCTCCATACCTTTTCATAGAATTTTCGGGCCTTAACCTTATCGGCCAACTTCCCTTTCCAACGCAACGGGGTCCCTTTCGGTACAAAAATTAATTTTTTCAATGACCTTTGAGCATAGCAGAGAATGCCAACCCCTCCTTGTTCTGATATGAAATAAAAGGTCCTCATAAAAATCTATCAGCTATACGGAGACGGAGGCTGCTTAGAATAAACGGAAATTTTCAATTGGAGGAGCTCGGCCGAAAATCGCTTTATAAATCGTTATAAAATACCAATTATACATATATGATATATATATCAGGCGAAACAAACTTTGATATACACAACCCATTTAATTCCTCTGACTTTCTTTTCTATATTATAACCTACTCAATGAGAGCTTTATATAATTAAATAATTTTCGGCTTCTTTTTCCAATTATATTGAAATCAGTAGCTGACAATCCGAGATCGGTCTCAGGTTCAGGCCAGCCTGCACTGTCACTGCATTTTGGTCACTCGTCTGTCGGACGCGACCCGCAATCAGATTGACTGGTGGCGGGTAATTCTGCGTTCGTCGTAAAAAAAGGTACAAACAGAGTCCAGAGAGTCGAGGTCGTAAATAATTTAAACTATCTAGGGACCATTACTGGCGTTAATAATAATATTAGCCTTGAAATCCAACGTGCAATCACTCCTGTTAACGGGTGCTACTTTAGACTAAGTCGGCTATTGAAAACTCTACAAATCACTCATCTTTCCCGTTACTATATAGTGGAGAAACTTGGACGATGTCGACATTCGATGAGTCCACCTTCCGCTGGTGGAGGCAAAAGATCAAGGGAAAATTACGGACTTATGTTGATTCGTCTATACTCATGCCTACGCCAATGAATAAGAAGATATATACATATAATATATAAATATACATACAACATCTTGTGTATACAATTTAAAAGTAAACTAACTTCAAGTTATCAAGACCGAACGCCTTTTGGCCTCTGGCTTCGTCGTTGGGTAAGAGTCGGAGTCAGTCGACGGATAATTGAACTTGCAACTTAAACGCATTCGTAGCTAAAACAACGCAAAATGAAAACTATCAGCTGTGCTGTCTCTATGCTCAAGCGAAATCACAGCTGGAATTGTTTAAAATTCTCATCAATGTGGGTAAAAAAAACATATGAACTAATGCTATAAGAAGGATGGCAGCGAATTGGGTAGCAGTGTGCACTCCTAAGCGACGAGTCATGAGTTCGAAATCGAAGAATTTCTTCTACGATCCAGTCGCTCTGCGATAACCTCAACGAATGTGTTTCTAACAAAAGTGATTGGCTGTAGGTGGCTCCATTTATAGGAAAATCTTTAACATGCGACCACAAAGCGGTGAAGAAGTTCGGCCGGTAGTTGTTTAAGCGGTTACAAAACCCCAATTAATTATTTACATATTTATTTATTTTTTAATGTTATGTGCAGAATACTCGTATTCTTATTCTAAATGAACAGTGTAGATGTACTTTGTATATATGTACATAACATATACCCGTAAGGTTATGGCAAACTACATATGTATTTATGTATGTATGTATGTATATACGTGGAGAGGCAAAGCGAATAACAGAAATACTTGTACATGTCGAGGTCAGTGAAGAAGTCAATTTAATTTGCGAATTGATTTATTTACCGTTAAACGATAGCAATATATACAATATGTTGTTGTTGATGAAAAAGAACATTTTGGTGAGTTTGATGGATGTGAATGCTTCTTATAATAAATGAATGGTTGTTGGTTAGTGGTTGAGAAAAACTTTCTTCTGGGTTGAGAGTTCATTTATGAATAAGATCATAACTATAAATATATATATGTATGTATGTACATACTACGGTCTTTTGCTTTATTAGCATAATAGTAGCAAATAGAAATGCATATTCCGAACTTTTGACATCGAATTTAAGGTTCTTCTCTCTGACAAATATAAATTCGGAGGAAAATCGACGCAAGCTCATTCTCATATGAAACTCCTTTTCGCGATTTAGAGTCAGAAGAAATTGCTCGCAAAAGTGACCAAATAACTTAATTTGCCTTATCTTATTTGGATGCTTAATTTTAATTGATAGTTCTGAGGTCTCTGAACCACCGAAGATCTGCTACATCCCTAGTGCAAGTATTACTCTAAAGTAATGGCAGCAAAATTTATAAAAAAAATATATATATATGTACATATAATTGAAGTATTTCTTTTAACACTCACGTAAAGTCCTCTTTTTGTTTTTTAGTTACATCACATTGTAGGCACATTTTATCCAACGGTAATTCATTACGACGGGCGGTACTTTGCATAATTGCGGTTAATAGTGATTGCGGATTGAAAAAACCGGCCAACCACACACAGGAAGGAAGCTGTGTAAGAAAAAAATAAAATAAAATAAAATAAAATAAAATAAATAATTAGTAATAAAAGCAAATCAATCCAAGCGTTTCATTGTACTCACCACAAAATCAGTGGACCATGTTTCCAATTCACGTAGTCTCAAACAGAGATCGATAAACCATGAATTTAAGCCTAGCATCGAGGGATAAGCACGTTGTGTCCATACCGGCGGTACTTGGTCGAGAAAGAGCGAATTTTCTAAAACTTCCATGTCGGATGTGATGGTGAGTTCACCTTTTAAGCCTAAATCCAACTCTTTTAAACTACGCTTCATCTCGCTTGTGAGGTAATTCATGCGCTCACATTCCTGAAAAGCCACAATCACATACGGTGTACGCTCTTCCACCTTGTTCATTATCTCAACCATATTGAATTCCTCTGGCAATTTCTCCATAATTTCATCCACTATTTGTTTTACCTTATCTTCACGAGTCACTGTGGCACCACCACTGGCGCCAGCATCACGCGGTTGCATTTCAAAAACAGTACGGAATATATTCTCAGCACGTGTTGTTAGGAAACCGATTTCGGCATTCGGATGCAATCCATAAAGGTAAGGTGATTCGGCTGGCATCGTCTCATCGACATAACCGTGATAGCCAGCATAATCGGTGTTGGGTGGCGCTGGGAAACCGGGTGCTAGAAACAGTTCACCATCAACCAGATCCGGCTGCATATACTCCTCCAGGTAGGTAATACACAAGCGTCGATCCCAATCATCAGTTATATGACCGCCATACATGATTTCACCAAAGAGATAACGCAGATCTTCCCAAGGAACTTTGGCATTCGCCTCCAGATAGTTGTACAACACCGACACACTGATGTTTAAGTCACCGACATTAAATGGATAAATTTTGTTCCAACCTTGTGGACCAAATTTACGACGCTCAGCGACCACAGCGTGGAAATAGCAAAGTGAGAAAAGTATGGCTTTAAATTCCGCTTCCTTGCCGGACATTTCCAGTGTTTCCTGCGTGAAGTTGTCGAGTGCTTTGTGGAGATTGGCCAACATTCCCGTAGGCGGTTCATTGGTAATTTTAATGGAAGATTCGAGTATACCCTAAAATTATAAAAAAAAACCCACCCTAAATAAATATATAACGGCTACGCCTGTGAAAGTTTAGCCTACCTGTGGTATTATGTGCGCCGATGGCGACGAAGCTGGTTCGGCGCTCAAAAACATACGATATTCCGGATGTGAGCCCTCTGCATAAAATTCCAATTTCTTTTCCAACACGGGCAACCATTTACGCACTAAATGTATATTTTGTAACACCACCCAATGCCCATTTTTAGCAGCTGTATCCATGGCCGACTCTGCTATCACTTCTTGGCCTTGACCAAGCGAAACATTGTGGAAATTACCCAGATCCATTGTATAACCCATCAGTTTGCCCAAAGCCTCAACATCTTTTAGCGGATTCACACCCGGCGAGAGTATGAAGAAAATTGGCGTAGAAGGACTGGTCTCCTCAAAAGATTTAGCAAACTCTAATGCACGATTCTCAACATATTTACTGCCCAGTTTCTCTGCTATGAAGTCTCTACGCGTGGTAAAGTGAATTCATGAATATACCTAAATTTCTTGTTTGTTTAATTAAGTGATTCAACTTACGAAAGCGCATAGGTCATGCGATCCGGTCGAAGTGCACGTATCATGCACAGACGCTGCAATGCCGTCTTATTCTTCCACTCTTGGGGGAATTTCTCCTTTTCAGGCGCTTCAGATTCGACTAATTTTTTCCAACGCTTCGATGATGTCTCTATATCTCGATCAAGGTTACGAAATTCATCTTTAGACGCCAGACTGCATATTCCGCCCCACGATTGGTTAGATAGAAAATCAACGGGACTTGTGACATGGGGTTTAATCGGGAAGCGGAGTAAAAAGTCCAGTTCCGTAGATGTAATCTCCTCGTTCATAAGAAGAATCTACAAATCGATTGTAAGTCATCCAAATATAACATTATGCTGAAAGTTGCTAATTACCTGAAAAGCCATTTGTGATGCAAATATTAATTTATCGCACTCGAAAAGACCTCTGGATGTGTATTGGAATACGGAGTAACTGATGCAATCGATTAAGTTAGAAACGCGAGCATCTAAAGTTTCACCGGGATCGGCGCGTGCGATGGCCTTTTGAAAAACTACACTGAAAGCCTAAGATATTAAGAAGAATATTTATTTGTTTATGTGATTTTTAGGAGAAAATTTTAGAATACAAAAGAAAAGGTCTGGGTATTCTATTAATCCGTTTATATGTAAGAAATGAAAAAAAGATAATAGAAGTATTACCTTTTAGCAATTCGAACCCTGGCTGGTAGAAAATTATTGCAAGTTTTTTGAAAAAAAATATATATAATTGCCTTCGAGGAGCAAACCTCCGTACCTCCGAGTGAGTTTCTGATATGAAATAAAGAGTTTCTAATGAGAATGCCTCAGAAATTCGGAGAGGAGTTAGAATAAACTGTAGGGATTATTAAAATCATCAAGACGCACGCCAAAAATTTGACCAGAGACGACATTTTAGTCATCAAAGCTCTTTCAGGTATTATTTATTGTTTTGAAAATTTCTTAAATTTTTTCATTTTTATTTTAAATTATGGACTTAGTATACGCCCAATATTTATAAATATATATTGTTCAAATGGTTTATTGGTTCTAAGATTTTTCTGGCAGAACATGGGCTATAAAAACAGGGTGAACCTCCAAATAAGAGACAAGGTTTGTTCAAGAAATAACAAAGAATCTTCTTCTTCTATTGTACTACATTAGTACCTTCTTTTCGCTGTTTTGCGCCAGCTGGTAATACTAACTGAAACCAGGTTGCACTGTATCGAATGTTTTAAAAGCTAAAGTGTTTTCAATCATCCGGACGACATGACTTAGGCTGCGTAGGCGCTGTGTCTTCAGTCGCTGAACTATGTCTTCCTATAACTCGTACAGATCATCGTTCCATCGCCTGGGGTATTCGTCGCAGCCAATGCTCAAAATCTAACGCAAAAGTTGTCTTTCGAACACTCCGAATGTCGACATCGTCCACTAATGGTGCAGAAGTAGGACGGGAATGATAAGTGACTTGCAGAGTTTGGTTTTTTCGAGAGAGGACTTTACTTTTCACTTGCCTACTCAATCCAAAGTGGCACCTGTTGGCAAGAGTGATTCTTTGTTGGATTTTACGGCTGAAATTATTATTCGTGTTAATGCTGTTCTCTGAATAGATGAAATTATTTACAACATCGAAGATATGACTGTGAGAGCCGAGTCGCGAATGCGATGACTGTTTGTTTGATTACAGGAGATATTTCGTTTGTCCTCGTTCACTAAAAGACCCATTTGCTTCGTTTCTTTATCAAGCTCGGAGAAGGCAGAACCTATGTTATCGAGGGCGTGGGTAGAGGTTTGATATATTCCTTGACTATTTAGCTCTGCAGCTCTTATTTTATTTTTTTTTTTCATTTTTTTTTAGCATCAAATTGAAGTAATCGCACGATTCAGAGTTACCCTGTCTGGAATCTTGTCTGATACAGAACTCCACGAAGAGGTCCTTCCCAATTCTGACTACGATTCTGGTATTGTTCAGCGTTTTAATATTTTTCACACAGTTTACAGTTACCCAGCAGGTAGGGGCAAACCAAAGCGTATAGGTTATTTTGAATTTCGCTCAGTATTTGGGCAGCTGGATCTTTGAAATCTTTTTAGGAAAACAACCAGTATTACAGTGTAAAATGTCATGAGCTGTCCACCATCGGACAACCTCCTCCATTACATAATACTATCAAAAACATGCTCCTAAATCCATAATAAAGTTTAATTTTATATTTTACCTTTAGCGAAAATTGATATATGGGATTAATGGTATTCAGCTCGTTGAGTATGAAATAAAGTAAACTCGCTCGTGCTGCTGCCGGACGATAATATTCGCGAGCTTTGTCAATTTCTTTTGATGTGATTTTAGCCTCAGCTACCTAGAATATTTTATTTAACATAATCCGTTTAGATTATTTATAATAATTCAAATATGTATATTCCTTTAACTACCTTTTGCTCAATTTCTGAAGCGGTACTCTTCGTAGTTTCTAAATTTTCCACCAAAGCTGTATCGCCTAAAATATTTTCTCCAGCTGAGGATAGCCGAGACAAGAGATCGTCTTCGAGCTTCTTCAGCATGATTTTAAAATCATTTTGTTGCTTTGTTAAATCAGCCTGAAAAAATTTGTATAAATATGAAATTGTTAGTTTTTCAATACAAAATTTTTATAATAATTTGTGCATACCTTCAGCTCTTCCAGGTCGGGACGTTCTGCTTTCACGACTTCTGCCAGCAATTGATCCTCCAAGCCATCGCGCGTTACAGTGAAGTTAATCAAAGTACTTTGAGCTTGCATTTCCGGTTTATAATGTGGATTTGCCAGTTTGGTATGTAATATCAAGCGGAAATTGGAGTTATACTCAATCTCTTTGTCACCGATTTTGATAGCCCTAGGAAGGTAGGGGGAAAAATATAATTACATATGCGAGTGATTTGATATTTTATAATCGCCATTTACATTGGCGTCAGACCATTTTTATGATCATTTGCTTTCGGCGCCGGTACTCACTTGCCCTTCTTGATGAGATTCCTGCCTAACAATGGATCCAGTACTGGATCTATATTTTCATCAATATTCTCTATAAGCACAATGCATCCCTTGGTGATGGCCAATTCTATTATATCCAAATAACTTCGTTGGCCTAAACGTATCACTTTTAATTCTTCACCATACTTTTGTTTTATCCATTTGACGCCTTGTAGCTGTGGATCGATCATCAAGGGCCAACGATCTGAATTCGATAAGATTGTGGCATTTTCAATAGACATACGATCGCTGGGCAAACCCTCGTTAGTCCAAATTGCAATTGTTGTATCATCGGTTAGCAAAGATAAGGGATCTAAACTCTCTGTTGTTGGTATAGGTGGATCAATGCTTTTTAGAAACGGAGTCCACATTTTTAGCAGTAAATCTATACGAAATTGTTTAGTGAAACAGCCGACATAGGAGATGAAAGCGGTAATGAGTAGAATATCTCCCGGCAAAGTGATGCCTTGTTTTACAAAGCTGTTAGAAGTAATATGCAAAGTTTATTGAGCTAATTTTTTGGGTTTGAGGTGGGGTACTCACCTATTTACCGCCTCGGCCCAACGGACATTCTCACTAGCCAAACCATTGACCAGACGATTTGCCAATGCGATTGTGGCCTGAGTAGCATCTGCTTCCTGCTGACAGCGTAGCTTATCGGCTGTCGCTTGTTCGAAATCAGCCGTCAACTTAGCCAATTGCTCCTCAAGATTCTGAAACATTTGTATTGAAAATGTCAAATAAAATGTAACTGTTTTTAAAATGAATATTCCTTACTGGCATCAGTACTCACCGCAACTTTACGTTTAATACCCGACAATTTCTCCTGTGCTGCTGCTAATTCCGCATTCGCTGCTGCCAATGCTTTTCGTTTAGGTTCAACATCACAGTAAACTTCGTAGAATTTTATTATATTGATAACCCATGCACAGAGGCCTGCGGCAGCGCCTGACTTGGAGCGTACAAACTCGGGTTCGAATTCAGGATCTTTGAGATAAGGCTGTATGGCTTTTATAATTTCCGGATGTATATTCTCTTTGTCATAATTAATGAGAGAGTCTAAAAATGTATCCACTTTGGCCATAGCAATTTTGGCCGCTTTCCATGAACGATCCTTGGGTAGTTTGCCACCTGGCGCCAGTAGCACCATAACAGCTGCAGTGACATTGGTTACAACTCCGGGTGGTGAACCGAACGACTTAAGTTCTGTTAAATTTGCTTTGTTCAAAGTGTTGAGCGCTTCTTGCGCAGCGCTTAATGCAGGTTCCGCTTTGAGTAAGTCCTCTTCGCAGTCTTTTTGTTTCTTACTCACTTCATCAGCTATGAGCGCCACTTTCATTTCCTCCTCATCGGCTACTGCCTTTTCGGTTTGCACTTTTTCCGTTTCAACGCCAACGATTTCGATGAGCGCATCCGCGGCCTCATTCTTTTCTTTCAATTCCACCTCTTGCACGGCGAGCTTCACCTTTAAATCGGCTACTTGTACGGCGGTCGAACGCAATTTCTCTAGACCATTCTCCAAACGGACAATTTTTCCTTGCAGATCATCATGTTTATGATTTAATAACTTCAAATACAGACTGATTTGTTCAAGATAACTTTTTGGTGTGGTATAATTGTAGCGCCGCTCCGTTTGCAGGTACACCTTGGAGGTTGCATTCACCGAAGTGTGCACATATGCCATAAATTTGGCCACCGAATCCCGATGTGCCTCGGGTAGAACTTTATTCATTGACAAGAAATTCATTGCCACCGATATAAGTGCCTCCTGTGGCCACTCGTGGAACCAATTGATGGATGTAGCATTTATTATTGCCGGAAATTTACGCGAACGTACACGCAACGTCGAGCCGACAGGGGAGAAGCAGAGCACTATCTTCAATTGCTTACGCACGCGATCAATGAAGAACTTCCAACAGTTCTCACGGGAATCCACCAAACCAGCACCTTTAACTTCGTTACGTACACCGGCAATAATGTTTTCAATTTCATCGTCGGGGAAGAGATCTGGAATTTCGCCGGTAGAGAGCATGTCATTGATGAGCACTAGAAAATCTTCGCTTGGTATTTGTGCATCGGTCATAAGAAACATAATGCCAACATTCTTCAATCCAGCTTTCAGATATAAACCTGAAAACTCGTTCTGAAAATCAGAAGAAAAAAACAATAAAAAGACGTTATTAGTTGAGTTTTTATCACCCCGCCTACCTTGAGATCGTTGATGCCATAACCCTTTTTAAGTTGGATTTGCACCACTTCCAAACTTGAAATAAAAGCAGCTAGACGTGATAATGATTGCTTACCACTGCCACCAACACCGACCAGCAGTGCGCTACCGCGTGGCGACTCCAATATACGGTTTATTCTGAATAAAAAATATTAAGATTATTTTATTTACTCCTCCTCTACATATTTACTGCCACAAATATCTTTCTTATGCATACCTGCACACATGCATCATGGCGTCTTCGAATAGCACCAAATTCATTGCCGCCACCAAATCGTTGTACGATGCCATTGCTTCCTGAAGGAGTTTGTGAAGCTCAGTCCAGCCCATAACGGGCATGTACTTGGGTTCACCAATTCCTCCAGCGAAATGGCAGTATATATTGGGTTTGTCAAATATCACTGATTCGTCGATTTCCTCAAAGGATTTCTTCACTATATCGTGTTGCATTTTGGTGAAACTGTCAATATCTTTCTCGTCGATTAATTTATCGCCATAGACACGTTGAGTCTCATGTTGCCATAACCGTATAAGATCCGATGAGCTGGTCAAACAATCTGCTGTGCTAAATAGTAAGCCCTGGAGAGCAGGAAATAAGGTTTTAATAGAGACAGCTATGTGTTTTAATTATTTAAGCAAATTTGGGATAGTTGTGGGTGGCGGGTCTCTGGTATAAGTAAGTCATATCACTTCCTATTAGCTGTCAGAATTAATTAATTGATAATAAGAAATGAAACAAAGAATAAAAGTTATATCATATTTATTCTCGTCTACGATACGCACCAAGATGAAGCAACGTAACAACGCCTCAGACCGGGTGTAATGAATAAATGGAAAGGGGTTTCCTGGTTTAAGTAGTGGAAGCAATTATAAAAGGGCTTCACTTCACAGCAAAGTTGAATTTGATGATTGTAATGATTTGGGTCTAAAGGAAATGCAAGCTCTCTAGCACACTAATAACAAAATATTGTACCACCAATTGAGCTATAAGTATGATTTTTTCTACGGCGTTCTCCAGTAAGAGGTGCTATATTGAAATTCCGGTTGATGTCATTTCTGATGCTGTAATTTTTTGACATTATACAAGTAAAAACTACGCAAGTAATAAATATGGAACGATGCATGCTTCAAAAATTACAGTTCGTAAAACTAAAACATTTTTCGGTCGTCGTGAAGCAACTCGTCGGACCGCAACACAGAAATTGGGGAAAAAATAGAGCTTTTGGGAGAAGTTAGTGGTGTAAAGAAAAGACAAGTGCCCAAAGTGCTGAAGAAACCCAGGTTTGTACGATTCTCGTCGTTCTTTGGAGTTGGGCATTCCGCAAACGTCATACCACCATATTTCGCATACAAATTTGGGTCTTGAGGCCTATTAAGTTCAGTTAAAACAAGAACTCAAGCTGGCCGATCCACAACATTGTCGCGTCTTTGCAGATTGGATCCTTAAAATGCATGAAAATGATTCAGAGTTTCATCGAAAAATCTGTCGGATGATGAGGCCGATTTCTAGCGCAATGGCTACGTGAATAAGCAAAAATATCGCATCTTTGGCTCGAAAAAATTCTAGACTTATTGTTGAAAAACTTATCCATTGTCAAGATGTAACTATTTGTTGCGGTTAGTTGGACCTTACATTCTCGATAGTGAGTTGTAGTCGTTGTTGTTGTAGCGGTTGGTCTGTCATGCTTAGGGGACAGGCTAGTCCCTCATCTAACTGGAGTGCCGGGAAACGAGATGTTTCGAGGGGTACGGACCACAGGGAGAGGGGGTTAGATGTGTTGGTTGTTGTTGTTGTTGAGTTTATTCCCCAAACTACTTTTTGGGGAATGCTGCGTGAGTAACAGTCCTTGGCCGGATGAAAATCCGAGTCGTTCCGGTATAAAGACCCGACTGTCGCGGGAATTATTGGATTTTAGTCGCCCCTTACGACAGGCATGCCTTAACGTGGGTAAATTATTGAGGCCCTAACCCGCAGGGGGGGTTGGTGTTGGTTTTGAGGGGCATGGTGATAGTATCGTGCAGGGACTCGTTATATGCTGGACATATGTAGGGTTCGAGTGTGGATAAAGAAGAGTTTGATCAGCCACAATATCCAGACCTAAGTAGCGACAATATAACGAAGTTGTTCGAGCTCTTCATCTACTGTAGGTGGTAGTTTGGTTCCGTGGATGTGGTTCACAGAGAGAGAGTCTTTGAAGGTGTAAACTGTCTCCTGGTGAATGGCGTTTAGTGTCTGTCTCTACGCCATCCTACTCAGCGGTTGTTGTACGTGTTGCTGGAATGTGTTATATAAATCTAGTACTCCCTATTTGATGTACCTGGATGTAGGTTCAATTACTATTATGCCTGTTGGGGTACTCCCTGCCGAATTGCTTGCACAGCAAAGAATTATGCGCATTAACTCGCCTCATAGTAGAAAGCATACTTAACGACCGGCCGGTCAATTGCCTGGTAGATTTCCAGCTTTATCTCAGCTGTTGCCGGCTATCAGCGAAAATAATTGTGGACAGTAAATGGATTGCGACATCAAGAGATGATTAATGTTTTTTATGGCCGGAATGGGATGGTGTTGATCTGAACAACGTTTACTTTCAACAAGACGACGCTGTATGCCACAAAAGCAACGAAACCATCGATCTTTCAAGGGAAAAATTTCCGGACCGTTTTATTTCTCGAAGAGAAGATCGCAATGGTCACAAAGATCTTGGGTTTTAACATCTTGCGACTTCTTCCTTTAGATAAGGTTTACTATGCCTACAGACCAAGGTCGATTCAAGACCTCAAAAATGAAATTCGTGAAGCTATTGTGGCCATACAGCAGCCATTTACGATTTGGTGATGAAAACGTGGCCTTGGTGACATTTGATTGGTATATCTTATACTTTCATTTGAATATCTCTTATGGGGAAACTCTGTATGAAGCATATAAATCAATCAAATCTCGACTATGCCGAGTCTCCAATGGATGAGTTAATAGAAAGATTACGTCCAGCCGGTATACTGGACAGTGGCCAACGAGTAGACTTTAATATTTTTCCAATAAAGATACTAATTTTTTCCAAAATCTGAACGATGTGAATGTGAGGCCACAAGGAAAGGAAACAATTCATTTGGGATTTGGCAAAAAATATTCAAAAATTCAAGTTGAATTCGATCGCATTTTAAAACCAAATTAACGAAAATGATTTTACTTTCTTCTTAGTGTTAGACACAACTCAATATAATGAAGATTTGAGCTAGGTTAAGATACGAACATTTCAATTCAATATATTGATGTTTTGATTGACGCGTTCGATTCACGATTTGAAGATTTCCAAAAGTTTCATTGGCATTCATATTTTTCAAAACCCATTCGTTTGTGACCCAAATAATATACAAAAAATGTCAGATCTTTTCGGAACAAAGAAAACTCATTTGGAATTCGATATTTCGTTGATAAATGATTTATTCTCACTCACCTGGAAGACGTTGCTAATGTCCCTCAAATTGAATATGTAATGCGACTTGATTGCCGTCGGTAAGAAGATCTGTGTTGATTTGTTGTGGAGAGCCAATGTTGCGGCAACAATGTTAGACGTCATGCGCGTCACTATCGGATTAAACTTCTGTTCAGCATTGGCAAAATGCTGTGACAATATCATTGAAAAGATTGACGTGATGGAATCACCACTTGGAAAGCTTACGGCTAACACGCAGAAATGCCGTTGGAGTCGTGGATTGATAGTAAAACTGCCAGCTGTTGGATTCATGCAAGCCACATACTGGCAATTGTGTATGTCCTTTAACGAAAGTTTGTTTCGGTCGTACCAGTGACCATAATCCAAGTGTTGGCGAATAATTGTGTGCGGTTGTACGGTACCATAACAGTCCACCTCCGGCATATTCATATCGTCAATGTAATATATAAGTGTCTTGTTACCAGGCGGACCATAATTACGGCCCGCTTTCTTCTCCAACGGCTTCTCCAGTATTTTCTGCAGCATTTCCGAGGTGGTGTAGTAATTGAAAGGAATCGTAGTGACGGCATAATTCTCATTGAGTGCTTGTAGTTTTTCGTTGACGAGCACGGTCTTACCACAGCCTGCGGTGCCCACCAACATGACCGGTTGACGCATATTCATGAGTAAATCGAGAAAAAAGCGAACACGTATTGATTCGGAGGTGTGGACCAATACGGCTTGTAATGGTAAATCGGATTCTAAGTCGAATTTGGGAATTTTCTCCGTCCATGGAAGGAAAGTTTTGGTTTCCGTATCGAGGAAATAGTCGAAAACCGTACCACCTTGTGAAGATATCAAAAGCACAAGGCAAATAAAAATTATCAATCACTTCTCACATTTTCAGATTCGCATGGTTACATGAACTGTACTCACCTTGTGGGAATTTAACGGTTTTGAATTCATTTACCCACCATTTGCTGAACTCGACTCGATAGTCGATTGCTTGATCCTGGAACATAGCCGATCCGAATGCCCAAACACAAGCAAAAACGAAATAAAGTTCATGCCATTCTTTTGGACAATCGGCTGGTGTGTTCGTAGGCGTCAAGAAGGATTCCAATAAATGACATAGCATTTGTATGTGTGCCATTTCGGCGATTGGTGTTATTTTTTTAAAGCGCGTCCGTATTGTCTCCAGCGAGGCTGGTATATATTTATCGAACAACATTACCAAATTGGACTTTTCGGATGGTATCTTGCGAGTTTCTACCCAGCTGCTGACATAACTTTAGTGATAAATAAAATTACAAGTAAGTGTGAGAATATTTAGCGTCGTTATATTTATAACTTACGGGTTCCAGCCTAGGTCTTGTGGATTTATATAGAGTATACCCGCTCTGGAAACTGTGGCTGGGGTGGCTGTTCTCAAATTGGAAATCTCAAAAAGCAAGCGCATCGAAGGTGTCAACGCAATGCGCTCGTTACTGGCCAAAGTCAACACTTTGTTATCGTCCATAACAGTATTCAAGCTCTCAATCCACATTGGATCGATATCGCCATCGAGCACAATCCATTTGGGCTGATCACCCGTTATGTTTGCTTGATCTCGCATTATCACTGAAAACAAGCCATCTTTCCATTCACGTGTCGCCGGATTGATAATACCGAAAAGTTCATCATTGGTAACGGCTTTCGGATTTAAGTCGTTAAATATGGGTTTTCGTTTAATATTTTGGTAGGTGCGGAGTAAGGTCTTCCACACTTGTGTCTTGCCAGTGCCAGCATTGCCAACAATGAAAACGGAATGACGCACTTCCAACAACTCTTCCAACTGAACTACCTTCAATATGAAATTGTCCTCGGGTTGCAGTAAAAGATCGGAGGCGGCCTGTTTAACGGTACGTTCGAAATCTTGATCACGTTTTCTGGGTACATCCAAGGCGGGGAAAAGATCACTAATTAGTCCCATGAAAACCGGCATATCATCTGTAACGATCTTAGGTATGTTGAAGTCTCGCAAAGCACGCATGAGCACCTCCTCCTCGGGACGCCCTGGATCGCCGCGCTGAGAATGGAGGAGTTAGTATTTTTTTAATTTTATTTTCAATAGTAAACACATGATGTCAAGAAATGTCTTTCATTCTCACCTTCAGGGAACCGGCAACTACGAGTACAGACTTAATGGCCCTCAAGCCCCAGTCGTAGTGATCCTGCTTGGAGAGCAACTCCTTGCATAGCGTATAGAGCGTAATGAACTTTCTTGCCAACACTCTGGCATCTTGAAAGCCCTCTGCTACCAACATAATCTCACAAATTAACTCAAAGTCCGGTACAACCATGGCACAAGGACGAAATAAAGCCTTTAGATTTTCCGGTAATTCTGTGCGTCCAGCATAACCAGGATTCATAGTAATGAATATGCCCACCGTAGGCACGCAGCTGATGAATTCACCCATAAAATTGAATTTTTCCTTCTTGTCGCGTATAGCATCTTGCACCGACTTCACTTGTACCGCAACAACGGAGAGCACCTCCACTGTTATGCGGTTGAATTCATCAAAGCAACCCCAAGCACCAGTTTGGGCTAAACCTTTGTAGATATTACCACACGATTGATAATCCATTTGTTCGGAACAGTTGAAAACGTACACCATTATGCCCAACGCACGGCCTAAATCCTTTGTAGTTTCGGTCTTACCCGTACCAGCCGGTCCAGCTGGTCCACCGCCCATAATTAAATGTAGAGACTGTGTTAATGTGATGTAGCAACGATCGGTGAGCGGTGTGATGACCAGACGTGGTGTATTACCCAAATACTCATGTGAATATTGAAATTCTGCATCACAAATATTTGCGAAACAATCTTTCTCAACTTCATCATAGCGATGACGCAATTGTGACTGCCACATGAATGCGGAACCCGAATCCAGTTTGGCTTGGATCATTTTAGCGACAACATCGCGCGAATGTACATCAATTGTGCATATGGTCATGATCTTTTGGCGATCTCCCTTGGTCAGCTCGCCCAGCAGTAGTGTGATGAGCAAGCTCAACTGAGAGATCTGTTTTTTGTAGTAATCCTTGATGGCATTATCGTAACCTTCCTCCAAACGACCAAAGGCAATGTTCACTTCGGTGGACCACCATATTTGCGATCCACAGAGTGACACCTGTGCAGGATAGTCGAATAACCATTGTTCACGTTGCTTTTCCTCATAGGCAACCACAGCTTCGGAAACGTAATGACGTAGCGAGGCACGCATGGCCGCCTGGATGCGATTTAGCCAAACCTCCACCGGACCGCGTATACTCGCCAATTCATTGAATTCCACATATTCACCATCCTTAGCGTACATACCCGAAGCTGTGTCGATTTCGTTCGATTCATCACGGTTGAATTTTAGGCGTGCTATCGAGTCAAATAGTTTAGTTAAATGTTTTGTGACCATCTCTGGCTGAATGCCATTACTAAGTACATCGAGCAGATCGGCCGATGATACAAAGTAGAAACGAGGAAAAGCTAAACGTTTCGTTTCCAAATACTCTGCCAGTGCCTTCTCACACAATGTAAGCTCCTTTTGTAAATGTTCCAAGCGTTCGATCAACCCGGGCCGATTAGTCGACGCCACCACATTCGATGATACAGACATTTCGTCCATTAATATGCGAAATTCAGCGTCGATGCGATCGAAACGATCCGAGTCGACTGGCAATTGCTTACGTATGTCTTCGGAACTCATGAAGATACTTTCAAGATGGGTCCAAGTGCGTTGCACCTCAAACCAGACGGTTATGACCTGATCGGCTACCATCAGTTTGTTTTGCCATGTTGACACCTCCTCAAGGAAGTGCGCAATGTACTTCGATGTTATCAGATTTTGTAAGCAGACCTGATTATCTTCGAGAGTCTCTATGAGTTCCTCCGATGCCTTGAGGAGATTACAGCCGGTGCGTGGATGGAGTTCATGATCGAATTCCATTGCAGACCAAGTCGTGTGTAAGTCACGTAAAATCTTTTCCATCGACATTTCCTTCACCGCTTTGTCGACAATATTCTTCACCTCCTCTTCGCATTCATGTAAATTCAGGCCCAACAGCTCGGCAAGTGTCGTTTCGTGATCCATTATGAATTTAACCTGTGTTTGAGGATGTTAAATCGAAAAAAAAGAAGAAAATTAAGCTGATGAATAAATATTTGTTTGAAATTTTAATTTATCGTATTTAGTGCAACTACGTTTACATCGGGTGAGCGGATCAATTTGAGCTACGACAGAGGAAGAAAATTGTTGAACTTATGTATATGCATACCATGCAGGTGAATAAGACAATACGTATATCTGGGACAGCACAAACACATACGATGGCGGGGTTTATTTACACAGAACTTACCGTTATTTCCTTTGGTAAAGCGGCTAAATTCTGTAAAGAGATATTATTTACAAAACGAAATTCGCCAAATATAAAACTAAGCATATATACATATATACATATTTACAATTCATACATATGTACGTATTAATGAGTAAAATGACGTGAGAGAATTTTTAGATAAAAAGTATTTCATATTTATTTAATGTATCACTCTTGCCAACAGGTTCTTGTGTGGACTGAATGAGCAAGTGAAAAGTAAAGTACTCTCTCGACGAGCCAAAACCAAACTCTACAAGTCAGGCATCATTGGTGCAAAAGCTTTGACGATGTCGATAGTCGATGAGTCCTGCAATCTGCTAGAAGGATCAAATGGAGTGCGACCCGGTTTCGCTAGGTATTTCCAACATGGACCAGAACCAGAACTGACAAGCAAACCAATAACATTAAAATGCAACAAAGAAGCAAAAGTCTTGTAAATTGACTGAATGTGATCAGCTGATATAGTATGATCACGAGACTTCCAATCAAGTCGAGTGGTTAACTTTGGGAAGCTCAAAGTTCGAGTCGTGGCCTCACCAATATCAGAAACAATAAGATGTTAACTTTTCTATCTATTTCTGGCATACAAATTCTAAACTCTTCATAAATAACCATCAGCCGTTCAGTGGCGGCTTAGTATAAGCTCTCGGTCACTCCATTTATTGAAAAACATCCGAAATTTGAAGGAGGAACTCGGCCGAAGTTCACTTCAGCTATTCAGCTTCTTCTAATAAGCGGCTCACTTCTCAATATATTTCTTCTTGAAACACGGTAGATATTAAAAATTGTTATTCGTCATTCAATGATGTGAATGGATCTCATTTTTCAGCTACGGAATTAATGTATTTTGTGTAGTATGTTGCCTCTTTGCGGTCAATATTAAAATAAATTCGTAAAACTTTATGCAATCTTAAAAATACTCTCACTTTTATAATTTGAAGAGATTGAATGTTAAGAAAAAATAGGTATTGAAATATTTAAGACTGTGACTGTACAAATCATGCGCAGCTCTCGGCATCGTGTATTACACATTTTATATTTACAGGTTCCCAAGCGAGAGTCGAGAGTAGCGCACGTGCTTTGAATATTTACAATTGAAGATTATTTGATATTTTGAAAAGAGTTCGAATAAAAATATGAGCACAAATTTACAGTGTAATACTTATACTTATACGAATGTTCAAAACAACGGCGAACACTTTGTAGAGTGAAATAACCTTAGTAGAATTCATAAGTTGATTCCAATGACGCTCGCGAATAGCAGGATTTTGCAATTCACCAACAGCTCTCAATGATGTCAGCATATTCTTCACAGTCGATTCCAAATTAATGAAAGTATCCCATGCACGCATCTCCTTGTCCAACAGGCGGATGTCTTTAGCGAATTTCTTACACTCAATATCCATATTCTCAACATCTACTTTACGCCAAGGTGTTGTCTTCCAATCTTCGATGCAAGTCTGCACAATATATACGTAATCCCAAAGTTGCTGATTGGGTGATAAGAAAATGGAGATTATAAATGTGTGGTAATAAATAAAGCATTTTCTTTCAAAATATAGTAAACATATCTGAAATAAAGGAGAAATTCAAAAATGTTCTCCTTTTCCTTCGGAGCAAGGCTACAAATAAATATATACACAAAAATGTCCGGTTCTAAGAGTTACCTGATTTTTAATGCATACATTACGTGTGCTTTTGTGTTTATTATTTACATACATTCAAAACTTTTTAGGTACAAAAATCAATGTTTGAAAATGTCGGAACTATTGAAAAATCTTTATGTACTATTTTAAATAGACATAAATTTATTTTTTATTAATTTTGTCTAATTGCCAGCTAGAAATCTGTTTAAGTAAATTTGAAATTATATATTAAGAAATTATTGTGAATAAATTAAAAAAAAGTAATGGTTAAAAGTGTAACAAATTCGAAAATGTACCAAAATTGCTGAATTTAGGCCGAAGTGTCAACAATATTTAATGGTAGTGGTGGGAGGCACACTCCAGTGATAATCTCAAAATTTCTCTATCTTAACGTCTACCGAATGCAACTAGCATCTTGCAAGCGGAAGTACTGGCTACCAAAGGTAGTTATATTCCCGGAGAGCTGAACTTATCGTCACCAGTGATAAATTCGAGCCTCGTCAACAAATGCAAGCAGGCTTTACGCTTCCAGGCAGGTCAGCACGTCATCACCATAACCTAGGTTCCCATGAACATTTATTTATGAACATTTTCAGCAACAATGAATTTGAAACAGAGATAATATCATGTCGGTTAAGAACGGTTAAGAGAAAGCTTTACTTGCTTGAAAAATAGCACTTAACAGATAGCATAACAGATCTGGAGCAGGTATGGCATAACCTGTAAAAGGATCTATTAAAAATGTTATGGTAATTTATATATAACTTTCCAGCCACAAGACACTCAAAGGGGTTGTCATGTTATAAGGCTTCAAATAATTTGTTTATATATGAAAAACAGCACGAGTTTATTGGCTGAATTTTACTGTACAATCTCTTTACAAGACTTCGAAAGGTCGAGGGTATTAAATTTAATTAATTATAAAATGGTATGTTAAAATAATAGTAATGGATTTTGGAACATAACTTGCCATTAAAATATTAAATATTATTTATTTCCCTTTTTTGTGTTTGAGTGGAAAGATAAAACACTTTAGATGAGTCTTAGACTATATGACTTAAAAAATACTATAAACAAAGTGCATAAAAATTTCAGACTTACAAATGTATCATATATAAACACAAAATTCAACTGAATTAATTTAAAGTGTGAAATTTTGTTTGCGTTCAAAACCATTTGAAAGTTAGTTATTGCGTTTTGTTTGTGATCATCACAATTTGTTCTAAATCCAAAAAGTTGTATGTATGCATGCTCATGTACACAAAATAAAAAAATAGTATTAAATAAATTTCGCAACAGTATTGGTTCATACAAATAATAGTGGAAAAATGTTATTAAATGAATTAAATAGAATCTTAAAGAAAACGTGAAATAATTTAATAAAAACACTGTGGTTACCTTCAACATGCGCAATTCCTTACGACATTGCTTCAATGCCTTAAACTCGGGTATGTTGACTTCAAAGAGACTACCCGACTGTTGAATGTCACGCATTTCACATTCCAAGCGATAAATATCGTCATTTATACGATCGATTAGCAGATAGGGCTCATGACAATCAAAGCGGAAGAATTTATAATGTTTGAAAATCTCACGGAAGAGTTGTGTATGCGACTCGAACTCGGCCACCTTATTGCGTATACGTACCACTTCGGTGGCCTGCAATGGCGACACCTGTTGCTTCACAGTCGACGCAATCTTCTTCGTATTCACCCATTGTTCGGGTAACTCCTGCAACAATACATTCACCTCCTCCGGTATATCCATGTCGAAATATTTCAACAATTGTATAGTCTCTTGCATGGGTTCAAACATATTATCCGTTTTGACAGCACGCTCTTTCACCTGCATTAGATAGGCCATAATGCTGACGAGTCCATCGTAATCACCCTCTTTAACGGTCTGCAATAGACCTTCATCCGCTTTTCTTATGAAGCTACTCAAATCCATTAGATTATTTGTAACTGTATTGACTAAATGTTCTTTAAACATATTGCCCCATTTGCATACGGTGTTCAGCAATGCTTGCCTAAAGGGTCGTACATCGACTTGGAACCATGAATTGAAAATTTGAAATGGTGCTATGTCTTCTATTTCGTTAAATAATGATTCATAGTTGTCGATTTGCTCACGGAATGCCTCGATGGTTGGTGGACAAGGCTGAGGTGCCATTGGCTCCTTCATTAGCACCAAGTCAATCTCGTCCACATCTAAAATACGTCCATATTCCAGAAAATACTCCATACACTCTTGACGATCGTCCAGCCAGAGGTAAGAGTAGCGTTCGAATTGTCGACAGAAAAGTGAAGCTTCTTCCATAACGCGATCCACACCGTTTAGAATCTCGCGCCGCATATCAATGATATCTTGATTTTCTTTCACCATATCGCCATAATTGCGTTTTTCATTCTTCTTTAAACGCTTTATCAGTGTAGCCATTTTCATTATGTCCCGCATTAATTCGATCAGCATATTATTGAAACCCATAGGATCTTCAGGATCTAGTGAGGGCACAAACACTAAATTGGGTTCTACCAACTCCAAACGGGATTCGAAAAGTGGCGCGCAGTTATTATCAACATCCATGTTCTCAGCCAAATAACCAACACTCACCCCCACAGTCTTCAATAAATTCTCATAGACAATATTATCAACGAAGTCGACATAATTCAACCAAATTTCATCATCTTGCTTATCTTCCATATTAAACTGAACCATATTGTCTTCGAGTAATTTGTGTATCTCAACGGAAGCGGCTTGAATTTCGGCATAACGCTTTGCCGTACGATCCGGACGCTCTTCGATCGATAGCACCGTATCTTTTTTGGAGTCTTTTCGTTCGAAAAGCGGTTGCTTAGCCCAAACAGACATAAGTTGACCGATACGTTGGAGATTACTTTGAGTATGGTGCATGCGATTTTGCAAAGCAGCGACAGGTGTGCGCAATTTATCCAAATATGTGGTGATATCTAGAACAGATATGATTTCTCATTATTTTTCTTACAATATTAGCTGGAAATTCTAAAAATAATTTTTATAATTTTTTACTTTGTTAAGGATATACGTATGCATAATGAACAAGTTCTGAGAGAGGAACGATTCCCACCTATTTATCTATACTTCTTATAAAATGCTTTGCTCTAAATGACTGACGAACTGGCGGATGAGCTCACAGTCTGAACTGCTAATCACAGGGGCAGGAAAGTTGGAGGAAACGCCAGTTGCTTATGGCAAGCTCACAGAGGAGCTTTGTGATTCTAGCACCCGATGGAAGAAAAATTTGCTTGGAAGATTGCTTTCAAAAAGCACTTTAATACACTAGTGTGAGTTTTCAACCGAAAAAAGGTCGGTCTTCGGCCTTTATCATATTTTATAAATAATCTAAAATTTCAACATCTTGGTATAATGAAATATATGACCTAAAATACCAACTGGGAATCCCATTAGAAGCAATTTCTACTTTTTCACAAACGAAGTTCCGGGGTTTAAAAATAAAGTTCGATTTACTACTATGAAAGACCAGATCAGACATACCTGTAGGGAAAAAGACTCTTGGGGCTCATAACAGATCGCACACTGACACGCTAATGATAAGGAAAGCTTAATTAAGTAAGCTCTCTTCTTAAATTTAACCATGATTTTAGTACCTACAGTCTATACCTGTGCTCTCTAAATGTAGTTCTTTCCATTCTGCAGGGAAAAAGTTAAGGATTATGTGAGGTTCTTGGCACCTAAGTGTAAGTCCTCAGTCCGCCAATTCTAAAAGAAAACTTCCAGCTTATTTGGGCCACCTCTTCTTATCCGTTCTCTTCTTCTGTACCACCTACTCATGTCTAATCAGGATTGCAGATGGATAAGGGCTGAAGAATAAGGGACTAAAATCTAATAGTTCCCGCGACAGTCGGGGCCCAAATTTTCATCCTTCCAAAGACTGTCACTCCAGAAATATTCAAACAATTTACTCATATAATATAAACAAGATGTGCTATTACCAACAATTTCCTCCACTTTCTTTTATTACTTACCCTCTGAATTCCACACCAATTCGTTAACTCCAATCTCCACTAAATCATCAATTTGCTTAATTTCCGATTCGATCAACTGCAGCTCAACTGGCGAGCTATTCTCCTGTATCGTATTATACCAATCAATTGTCTTCTCTAAATTTAATGTATACGAACGGAATGTTTCATTTTTCTCAGCGAAGTTCAAAGCTATCTCGGGTATGCCCTCAACAGCCATTTGTTTCAAATAGTGAACCTCTCGTAGAATACTAAAGAGTTCTGGGCTGAAATTCAAAATTAACGAATTACTATTGGGATCGCGTGCAATAAGCGATACTTTCAAATTCGTTTCGATTTGCTCGGCCAACTTTTCACTCCATTCATCGAAGGCACACGTCTTATGTATACCCAGACGACGCATCAGTCGTTCGTAGCGTGTAAATATATCAACTGCCATCTCGGATTTGGTAATACTGGGAGCGGCAGAACAAAGGACAAAGACAATTAGTATATTTATTTTTTTTTTTTTTTTGTTGATTTTCGTTTTGAAGGACTTACTCGTGCTGCAGCTTCTGGAAATTTTGAACTGGTGTACTAATGCGAGCTTCCAGTTGATTGCACCAACGTATGAAAGCGGCTACTGGCGGACAATTGTAGTCAGGATATAGATTCATATTCATTTGTTGCAAATCAAGTTGCTTATAAAATATATCCTCACAAGTCGTCATTTCTACTTCAAGCATTTGTACGATTTCGGTATATCGTTGAGTAAATTGTTCCTTAATTTTGGGACGATCAATTACGCTGCCGACAATATTTATCAACTGCAGGATTTCAATGTTAGTCTGATCGAGGAATTAAGCTCGCCTTAAGAAAACACTCACCTTGAACATGCTTTCCAAATTATGACAATCATCAAACGCTTGACACAATATTGCAGCCAACTTCATGTCCAATTCTAATATATGTGTTTGAAAATTTTCGAAATCATTATCGAATTCATGATCATCAGGATCAAGTACATCATATGACTTGGAGGCGAATGCTGTAAAATATTGATTGAACTCTACATACACAGCCGTGATGCGAGTACTCAATTGCCGACCGCGTAGACCACCAATTTCAACTTTCTCTAATTTCAAGAATTCAATCACCGTAAAGAAGAACCTTGAAAATTGAACACAATCTACTTTGAATACTAACAAAAAATGGGCATAATATTTGTTGACTTACCATTGTATGGTTGTTAGACGCTCCAAGAACGCATTAAAGCGATTGAAAACGGAATTTGGATGAAAGGTCCAGAAAATCGGTGGTCTCTCCTCTGGTGTGGGAAAGAAGTCTGTTAAGTGTTCCTTGTAGTAATCAAATAGTTCACGAAAAAATTTCAATATTTGTATAGATTGTGTTAAACGTTGCATCGCCTCATCAATGTCACTATGAAATATGGAGGAAGGGTCCAAGTAACGCTTCGCCTGAATGTGTCGCAAAAACGAAAATTTAAAAAAAAATTATTGATTAAACCTCTTTCAAATTCATTTTTTACTTTGTATTTATTAACCTTTTTACGCATATTCCAGAAACGCATTTGTATGTGTAGCGATACTCACCTGGTGTATTATCAGATTGCAAATTTGTTTCAGCAAAACTGTTATTTTTGAAGAATTACTGTAATAACGTGAACTTCCCCACATAGTGCACACTACATACATTAGTGGTATTAGAAGGGGTTTGCATTCGGCAAAATCTATTTCTTCCAATTGTTGTATATAACGCTTCAAGGGATTGAGATAAAGAGTTATATCCTTGGCCTCGGCAAGCGCTATGTAAGCAAACGAGAATATTAAGAATTGTTTTATTTCACTTATTGAAAACTTTAATAATTTCCTCTTCACCTGTTACGACATTTTTGAATATTCCCTGGAAGCATGGATGATATGCACTATTGCTGTACTCTAGCACTAAGGCCATAGCGCGTATACGTTCTCCGCGCAATTGATCGAATATGAAGGATAAGTTCTTTAGGCGATTATTCCAGAATGCGATTTCTTATGGTTTTGATAAAAGAAGACTTTGGATTAGTAGCCGGAAAGGAAAATTTATTTTTAGTAGAGATTATATTTAAAGGACTTATGCTCTATTCTTCTCCGTTTGGTGATAGGCATGTTGATATTTGTACTACAGATTTACCATTTTAAGTCACTTCCGAACGGCTGATAGATTTTTAAAAGATTATTTTACTTCTAGGTCTGATAAAAACTCGGAATGTATGAGCGTACTCTACGTTGGTAAGAAGAAAAACACTTAATAGGTATGGGCATCTGGTCGAGGCACGAATCCTTCGGCTTCAGCATGCGCTGCTACCAATTCGTACACCACAGCAATAGTGTTTATTTAAATTGATTAAGTCTACCAAGCTATTGTATGTCTTAATAGAAATGGTGGTGTGACTAAAGTCGTAACTGGTTCTGCCTGATTAAAAGATTATTAGGCAAGGTTGCTCTTTGTTTCATTTTGTGAGAGTGACTTTCTGTTTACCAACTCATAAGGAAAATAAGCCTTCGTGAGGAACAAGGCATTGATCTCTGGCTCCCTTTTATAGTATTTGCCTTACCATAATTTTTATAAAAAAAATTGTGTTTTTCGCAGTTCTACTGAAGAAGAGTTGTCAAAATTTTATATAGGGTAAAGCTCTACGACTAAGTCTTTTTCAGCCTGCGCAATGGCAATGAAAATGGAACACCAATGGATTGCGAAGCCGATTCCCCAATCGACCAAGATAGAACAAAGATTTCAACGATCAACCAAGAAAAAGTACATCAGTTTATTTGCAATATATTGTTGGATAAAAGCATGACCCACGTTTGGACCCTAAGTTTGTTTTGAACAGTCCACAAAAAGGGGATCTACAGTCTGCGCCAGTTACCATGGAGAAACCATCCTCAATATCGCACATCGAGTTTATTATGTGAAAGACTAAAGCCCACCATCAACAAACTGACTAGACCTTATCAGCGTGACTTTAGGCCTGGTAAATCCATCATTCACCGGCCTTCATCTACGAATACGTCGGTGTATCTGAATTGGGCATCTCCGCAAAACTAATGCGGCTCCGTCAGGATCGGAAGGAAATTCTCCAAGCCTTCCGATATCAAACGAGGATTCAGACAAGGTGATTAATTTTAGTGTGGCTTCTTTTATTTATTGCTGGAGAAAATAATAACAGCTGCAGAGCTAAATACAGAAGGTACAATTTTCTACGAGAGCGGACAGCTGCTGCCTTACGCCGATGATATTGAAATCATTGACCACGACAACTGCGCCGTGAGCTCTGCTTTCTCCAGACTGGATAAGGAAACAAAGCCAATAGATATGATAGTGAATGACGACAATACGAAATGTCTACTGTCATCAATCAAACATTTTTCGCATTAGCGCCTCTGTTCCCAAGTCACTGTTGACAGTCATAACCTTTAAATCATACATGGCTTCGTCTATCACCAACAAAATCTATCTTAGATTGAGTAGGCAATGAAAAGTAAATTCCTCTCTCGACCAACATAGATCAAACTCTACTGGTTGCTCATCAATACCGTCCTGGTGTATGAAGGGGAAACATAGATGATAACAACAAAGCCAGTGGGTTAGAGGATCAAGAATTTACGCGTAGTAAGGCATAGCTGTCGTAAAAGCCGACTAAAAGCCATAGTCTCGTCTTTGTACCGAAACGACTCGGATTTTCAACCAACCAAGGACTGTCACTCTCGCAATATTCCCCTAAAAACAATTCGTTTACAACAATAACACAACATCTGTGCATTGGCGGAGGGAGTTTTTGAGAGAATGACTTTATGTAAATAATGTAATAGACAACAGCGAATTCCACAGCCGATGTAACGATGAGCTAACGATCTGCTGTTCGAGATCTAAGAAACAGTACCACATTAGCTAGGTGGAGAGAGCTTGGCTATATTTTGTATTTCCAAATCGCGCCAAACAGAAATTAAGAAGGATTGGATCGTGCGCTGTTATTAAGAAAAAATCAAAGGGAGTTACACCAACCTGAGGCGAATAGCATCGTTGATTTGAAGGAACGTCCGGGCATGCTCACCGTCATAAGTGTATCTATTCTGCTAGTCCGAATACGCTTGCCCTCGAATTCCGCAAAAAAGGTTTTCAGACATTTCATTGTCGAAAAAGAATACTTTGTAGACATTCAATGCTGGAAAAATTTTTAATAACTAATTATAGTTTGGGTAACAATCACTTTCTATAGAGCTCCTAGTGTGCTTATTGGGTAACTAGAAAGACCCTCGTGGCTCTATTAGGGTCAGAACACACAAAGCTCAGCTATAAGTGCCTCGAATACGACACATATAGATTTTATACTGAACTGACATAACTTATCTCTATATTTTATAATTTTCAATGTTAAAAGCTGGTTCAAAAGACGGTAAGGGATAATATTTCATTGTACGAAGCACATTATTTTTTGGGGTCATCGTAATATTTCGCATCAGCCCGTCGTATACCAGAAAAATGTACCTTTAATCCAGGCACATTTTTTGTATGGTTTAAACCGAGTAATTTTCGGTAAATCAGCGAAATATAAATCTAAATATTATAATTTTTTATTTTATTTCAACAAAATACAAATATTTTAAAATTTATTTCTAATTTCTAAAAATCTTTAAACTACATTTTACTTACCCACTTGTGGTGTTGGATTCTGTCCATTTTGAAATGCATTCGACGGATTCTCTTTTATGACTTCGTGTATTTGTTCCGCCCACTTAATTACCACACCTTCGATGGCGCTTTTCAAATATAAATCAATGGCAATGCGACGTGAGCCATTTAGCTTCGCTGCTAATTTAACAATCAACTCCACACCCACTGGCATCGCAAGTATAGTCTCACCGCTCACCTGTCCCTTCACCTGATGAACAGTACTTTTCAAACTATGCACATGCTTTTGTACATCCTGTGCAACCATTGTGGGCCACGATTTGTAATTAACATCATTGGAGAGTAACGGTACAAGAACTTCCTCCACCAAGGCGGATAGCTGATCAATGGTCCGTGTTGCTAAATCACCATAAATAATGAAATTCCCACAGTCCTCACGTGGAACTGGTTCGGGATGTTTCTTAATGAAATAAACCCCTTTACTCTTTAGCTGTGAGAGGGGAAATGTCGTAGATGGTACTAATTGTGCGGCTTGTGTGAGAATTATAACTAGGACAACGGGCACGGGCCGATCGAGAAATTCCTTTATGATAGCCTTGTGCTCTTCTACTGTTATGACTCGTGTCCATTTTTCAGGTTTTAATTTCAGTGATTTTATAACGAAGGAACCCATTAACTCAAGGCGTGGATCTGGACCTGCTGCAGCGGCTGCAGCAGCAGCTTCCGCGCTGGTAGATGGCTCCATAGTATGATTTTACTTGGTCGATTACGTCATAGAAATGGCTGGAAAATATTGAATAATTTAAATTTAATGAGAATCCTTGAGAAGGTATCCTGAAAAGAATGAATTTTATTATTGGAAATCGCAATTTAAACTAAGCTAAAAATATTCTCTGCAAATATTTTTCTTAACAAAAAAAATTATAAATACAATACTTTGAGGTTAGGTGAGCGCTTATGTAATCACACTTTTCAGTTTCAAATTACGAATTTTGAAAATTTTACTATCCTAATGAAATTAAAAGCTCTTTATAGAGTCTTTAGCGCTCATTTAAAACAAAACAAGGATATTTTATTATTATTTATATTTCATTATTTTTACCTTTTCTGCAAAAATATTCACAAAATCACAAATTAAAAAGTAACTGCTTATCTTCTTCAATATCCAACCAAAGAATGATGCAACTGCTATTTATCTATTTTCTTGGTACCAGCCGGCGAGGAAGTTCCATCCGATTGACAACCATCGAAAAAATAACTAGGCCTTAACAACCGAATCACACACCCATCCCAACAAATGTTATCTGATAAACATCAACATATTTTTATTTGACAATATTTTATTGCACGCTACCAAAATATGAAGCAGGTTGATATCAACACTACAGACTATGTTACATAACTAGCTCGCCTTATTCGATTTATTCATATGAAAAACGTTATAGTTTTTAAGAATTTTTTTTTATTTAATAGTTAAGAGTCCGCTTAAGAAACCTTTAACTCATTAAGTAATTTCATGCTATTTTTTTCAAAGTTCATCCAATAACTAATTTTTCACAGATGAGTAGGGTATTATTCAGTTTTAATTGCTTGAATTTCTCAAATTATAAATTTATAGTACTTACAACCAACAAACAATTTGGCTGTGTCGTAAATTTGGCGGCCGCGGTAGCCGAGTGGTTAGCATTGCTAGCTGCCATTCGGAAGGCCAGGGTTCAACTCCTGGTACGATCAACATACAAAAATTATAGCCAATAAAAATTAAGATAAATTTTCTAATTACAGTCGCACAGCGGAAGGAAATGCCAACCTCTCCGATGACATGACATGAAATAAAAGCTCCTAATAAAAAACCTTCGGCTGCTCGCCCTCTCCAAGTATAATCCGGTTCTCCCTCTATTTTTTTTGGAAAATTATCAAGACGCAAAACCACAAATCGGAGGAGGAGCTCGGCCGAAAATCGCTTCAGCGGTTACTAAGTGCCAATTATATATATTATATTTATTTAAATTTCGGCTGTGAAATTATCTGTATGTATCTATGTAACAACGTGTAGCCGGAATATAACGGAGGAAAGCAAAATTAATATTATGTCCTTTTACAATATTTCTATTGACCACAAACCGGCAAACAATTTGAATGTATGTATAAGGAGGCAAAGCCTGTGGATCGGGTAAAGAACGATGACAAAAAAAAAATCTACTCTCATCAAACAAACATTCTTCACATTGGCGACTCTGTTCCCAAGTCACCGTTGACAGTCATAACTATTCAATCATAGATTGCTTCGTCTGTCTTGAAAACAGCACTAACACCAACAACAATGTCAACGCAAAATCACTCTTGCGAGTAAAAGCTCTCTTGAATTGAGTAGGTAATGAAAAAGTTAATTCCTCTCTCGACAAACAAAGATCAAACTCTCAACCCATCAATCCAGTCTTGGTGTAAGTTTGGGAAGCATGGGCGATGAAAACAACGTCTGTGGGTTGGGGCTCAATGCCTAAACCACTGGTCGTAGATACCTGATACTTAAAGAGTGTGTTCTGCGTATAAACAAAATGGGTCTGGACATGATCTATTAGGAAAACCCATTTATTTTTTTTTATTGTAATTTGGTACACATTTACTAATCGATTAGGTTGAAGTTTTGCGAAATTGTTTCTATGATTCCTAAGAAGGTTTAAAACAAATCCGTATGTTGACCAGGGGCTGAAAAAATCTTATTTATCGTTCGATTTACTTGAAGTCCGGCACATAGGTAAGAAGACTTTTGCATTGATTAACATAGGATTACTTTTCTCTCTAATAGGTGGACCAGAGATCGATCTATTTAGGGGTTGACACATATTTGTTTTTTGTTCTTTGTGTCCTTCCACAAACCTTTCGCTTGGTTTGCCTCTTTCAAGAATTGAAGCCGAATGACTATCGAAACGGGATGCACACTTTTCCCGATTTTTACAAGAAATTTTTCTTTCTCGATAAAGCTCATATTTAGTGGAATTTGTAGCTGAATAAACAAAATTGTTGCAATTGGAGTAATCCACAAAGCATTATTGAAACACCGTTACATCCTCAAGATCGTACGATTCACTACTTTTTGTGGGGTGATGTGAAGTAGTTTGCCTATGCAGATAAGCAGGAGACTACTGACGCTGTGGAATAGAATATTTGTCGCGTTATTCCTGTCATACGGCACTAATTGGATCGCTAGGATTTTATCATATAATTCTAAATTTTTGGCTATAACACAAAATCCCTTTAGAATAGAAGAAAATTTGGGGGGAAGTAGAGTGTAAGTCCTCAGTTTTTGTATAAGAAATATGGCTTTAGAAATAAAATCTCTTTCAATATAATCTGTTAAATGTTTTAACTGTACTCACTATTTCTAATTAATAATTTATTTATTTGGTCTTCTTTTTATGACTTTTTATTTGAATACTAGAGAGTTACTCACAATTTTAAATTTTTGTTACATTTTTGTATATAATTTAAACCCTTGTATATCCTGTTGTCAAGGAGATTAATTTATAATTTTATTTCGCAAACAAAACAACGTTCTGTTTATTTATATAAACAAAGGTAATAAATGTTATAAGGTTAACCAAGCAACGACAATTCCTAACAACAACTGTTGCGTTGGTCATAGCAACGTTTTAACGGCAACAAATAAGAACTATAAACCAAACTTCCAAACTAACTTCGAGAAAACTTCTTTCACACTTTAACGAAAACATTTGCTTGCATGCGTTCACATACGTGTACATATACATATGTTTATCTATAATCTACAGGTTATGCTACTAAAAACAACGTTCGAAAACTATTTTTAGTTGCGGCATTTGCTATTTTCATTGGCACGCGATGTTAATCACCTGCGGCAGACGAAAAGTTTTTCAAGGTCACAAAAGCTTGTTTCCTTTTATTCTCCTTTATTTATACACCCACAAAGTGTTGCGTGACGGATGGCCATTTGGATACCTTTTTCCTGTTCGAGAGAACCTGTTGATTTTTCTAAATTAGTTAGTTGGAAAGTTTTACTGCTTTAAATGGTAATTGAATTAGTCAGTTTTAGTTTGCTATTTAGTAACGTTTTACGGTGTCTGTAAAAATATGTATTATTGGACTTCCTAAGTCAAAAAGCTTTTCAATATCTATGGGAGAATTCACTTGAGAATTTTGCTGTATTTATGTATTGTATATTGATAGACTTATTTTTATGATACGAGAGAGGTTAAGCTAATTCAATTTATTAACCGCAGAATTTAATATTTAACTCGCGTTAGGAGGGCATTTTGCCGCTAATTAAAAATGATATTCAGATTGTAATCTTATACTTGTTCAATAATTATTGTACCCATCCTCACATATATAACCGTCGAAAAGATTTTCAGCCGAGCTTCTTAAATTTGTGCTATTTATTTATTTTTTTTTTTTTTTTTTTCAAAAAATAGTTCTAGTTTGTTCCAAGCCGTCGACTGGCTCATGGATTTTAATGGGGATATTTTTATTACATGCCAGAAATACACTTGGAGGGCGACGGGAATTGGAAAAATTATTTTCCATAATTTTAGATGTTGCTCGGAACAGGATGAGGGACTTTTGGCTTCCGGATGTTAATACGTAATGCTAACTAATCTGCTATTACGATCCACCTTTTGAATGTTACGATCCACCTTTTTGATTGAAGCGCGACGAAGTTAACAGGGACTGCTGGTTTAAATATAAATATGTGGCTGTCGGGCAATCTAAGCTATCTTTAAACTTGTGAAGAACTTTATCTAAAGAATAGTGGGAATAGCGTTACGAAGGGGTTTCCAATAAGATCTTATATCTTGAATAGCCTGCTATTTCGGTAGATCTCAGTTAATACGTTTATAACGTTTGATAAGTAAAAGCTAAGTTAGTAAAAAATGGAACGATGCTCGCTTCAAAAATTATTAAAATTCACTAAAAAATAGTTAAAATCTGGCAGGGATGGCAGGGTTAAGAACCTTGTGGGACCGAAATACCTCGTTGGAAGTTTTGGGGAAAAAGAGAACTATTGGGACAGGTTAGTGATGGGAAAAATAAAACATGTGCACGCCACTCAAGAACAACTGAGAATATTGTTGCTGAAGCCCAAAGTGCTTAAAACATACCAAAGTTTGATCATTCCTCGTCGTTCTTTGGGACGTTACACCGTATTTTGCATTAAACTTGGGTCTTACTGCTTATAAAGTTCTGTTAACACATGAACTCAAGCCAGCTGATCATCAACAAAGTCATGTCTTTACTGATTGGGTCCTTACAAAGCCTGAAAATCATCTAAAATTTCATCGAAAAATCATCTTGACTGATGAGACTGATTTCCACCTCGATGACTACGTCAATCAGCAAAAATGTGGATCGGAAAACCTAAGATTTATTGTTGAAAACTCTCCACATTCTAAACGTGAAACTTTTTCGCTGATATTGTTTTATATTATTATTAGCATGTTCTCCTCTTCACATTGAAATAAACATTCGATCATTAATCATAAAAGATTTGATGTTATTTGAATATCAACACAATTTGAAACCCTGTATAATTGTACATTATGAATACTTACTTAGGAAATTCATGAAGTATGTTCAATAGAAGCGTTATGTATATGTTCATAAATACATATTAAGTGCAGTAAAAATAGGAAAAAAAATAGAGAAAGCTTTTTCGACAGTTTTTTAATTGGTTTATTCAGTTCAACAAAGAGAAAATGCGCTGTATTTTACAGTTTTTCTTCGATAAGTGCGAAGACTCAAGCCAGGCGGCTGAGAATGTGAATAGTGTTTACGATACTGTTACTTTTACAGTCAATCATACACAATTTCGCGTTCATTCCAGTAATTTTGATGTAAAAGATGCTATCCGGAGTGGATGGCCAATTGTCGAAAATGTCGATAAAATCATGGACATTGCCCGACAGAGCTAAAAATTGCAAAAAAAATCGTTTGGAACCATTTGGATGAAGCTGGATACTAGAAGAAAGCCTTCAATTTAATGCAAAAATTATGGATTTCTTTTTACTACACCAATGTGTACTTACCTCATTGTTTGAAATGTCAGTGTGTATTTTACAAAGAGTATGAAATTCAATCAGCTGTTTCCGTTTATGTTCTTATTCAAGAAGAAACTATTGGTTAAGCATTTAGAGTATTCGCTTGGTCTAGGAAATTTATGCTATGGTATAAGGTTTTCTATATGTAAAACAACAAAACATATGCATAAAAATATGCTTCAATAAAGAAAATGTCGTATACCCAAATCCAGATACATATATATTTTTCCTTTTTAAATCCAATTTATTTTATATTCATTAAGAGATAATAAATCTGTAGATTTATGAAAATAAAAGTGATAAATTTTCTAATACAATAATAACATGCGAACAAAGCAAAACACACAGGAGACTAGAAAATTCAAAAGAAAAAAACTCCGTACAAGGTAATTAAGTCGAACAAGGGCATTCTTTTTCCGAATTCCACTTAATATTTAATAGGAAGTCGAATATCATCTACGCTTTAAAACTTCCGCTAATCGTTTTGGCGTGGAATCAATAAGTTCGAAGGTTTCTATCGAACATATTTGAGCCCATTCTTTGTGCTATTCGCAGCTGCTTAGGAACTTTGTAGAGCCGCCACAGCTCCACTATGTCCACTGTTTGCTTCGTGCCGTTATCTTGTTGAAAGTAGTAGTCACTTTTACAGCGATTTGCTTTAAATTCCTTTTTAAAACATTAAGATATGCGTATTCGCCCATATTGGGACTCTATAAATTCCATTCTGTCCACACCACTACTGGTCATGTACCTCAATATCATTACTTTATTTTTCCTTCTTCGAAACGTTTAACTATAATTTCTTTTTCAGAAGAGCTCATTTCTTTTCTTTTAGACGATATTGCAGAAGTGATTTGAAATCTTTTAAAATTACTGCTTTTATGATAAAAAAAGTAAAATTATAATTTTCCGACACTTTCGCACTTGGTTATAACGCGGGAATCCGATTTTTACTACTTATACGCAATTTTGTTCCGCGCTGTCAAATGAGTATTTTTTTTAAATTCAACGATAAATCAATGTTGCAAAATTTTAATTGTTTTAAGTGTTATTATATTATGCAATAGACAAGCAATAACGCACGCAATGTGATTTCAATCTGAAATTTTTAATGCAAAAGTTATTTTTTAGCAAAAGGAAATAAGTCGTTAAGGGCGTACGCAGACTTTTTCTACCGAGTGTATATCTATTTCGCACAGATAACAAAAAAAAAAGTAACTTTTTACGAATTTGTTGTTCTTGTTTCACTTAAATTCGCCACAATCATGTAACTGGTGTGCTCTCGTTCTCCGGCATTTTTTCCCAAGGAAGATTTGTATAACATCAATTTCCTAGACTTAACGAATACCCCTTTTATTTATCATCATATAAGTATGTATGCAGAAATATTTATTGCCTTTAAAAAGTTGAGTAACCTTTTAATAGATTTAGTCACGAAAGCTTTAAATACAATGTTTACTAACAAAGTGCAACTGGTTGTTTACCTAAACGGACAAATGAATGAGTAGAAATATTTATTTAATAACACGAATGTACATAGATGTGTATGTATGGATGTAGATATAATTTTTTTTTACTAACAATAAGAAAAGGATTTTTTATATACGTATATCATAATTTCCTTCGTATTCGAAGCAGCACTTGCGCATTAGACATCCATTTAAAAATAAAGAAATAACACAACAAATACTCTAGCAACATACATACAACTATGTAAGTGCATAATATTATATACTGAATACCAGTACATCCTATGTCACCTGTTGGAGTTCCTAGTAACCAATTAAAACCAAACTCAAAACTAACTGTTGCATCATAACAAATATTTGTCATAACAAAGTAAATAAATCCCAGTAAGCCATAATATGAGGGGAACAACACAAGTAATTTTGGTTAATATACATTTTCCTGTGATTTCAACAAACTTTATCCAATCATGGTAATTGCTTTTAACTACTGCTGCAGATCAAAGACTTAATAAATGCTTTAATGTGGCATAATGTCACATCCACCTGGAGGTGGCGTGCTCACTTTCCCCAAACGACAGCGATGAAACAGAGGGAGCAATTTTAGGCCGAGCTTCTCATCCAATCTGTTTTGTGCATCTTGATATTTTTCGAACAAATGGAGATACTCACACTCGAAGGGTTTGTTATTGGTGGACAATGTTCTATGAGTTTGGATGTGGTTGTTGGTCTGAAAAGGGTTTTAACCACTGAGCCGCCGCATTGTAGAACGCAGTGTTAAGCACTCAACTAATGCGGCCGCCAACTATTAACAACAGAGAATTAAAATTAAGTGTTGATTACGGCAAAACCTGTTCCAAAATGATTTCGGTTTTATTTCAATTTTCTGAAGGCTTGTTGCAATTTTCAATAAATTTTTATAAAAATTTAAATTAATAAAAATATTTTCAGTGGTACAAATTAAACAAACCTGGGAACAAAGATTGAATTAGAATCATCTTTAAAAAATTTCACATATTCTTTTTCGGCGTTTACGTGATTCTAGCTGAGATAAGAACAGCGCGCCAGTTAATACTTTCTTGGCTTTTTGGACTTGTCCTTGTCTTTCGTATAATTTCAAAACTGTAGTGACAAGAGTGACTTCACAGTTATTACTGTCTACAGCGCCGTGAGAGCAAAGAGGCGAATGCATCTTGTACTTGTTCACTACTAGGCTCATATGCTTTCCTTCCTTATTCGGTTAGGGAAAACTGAACTCACGGCGCAGTTCTTGAGGCCCACGATGTGAATATCAATGGCGTAGGCCAGAAGATTGTGTGGTCTTTATTTAGATCTGCATTTCTCTTATTATTTTCGATGGCATCAGATTAACGAAACCACGTGATAAAAAGTCACGCAAAAAGTTTGGTAGGAAAACCAAATCTGACATAACGACATATAGGCAGCTCCTTACTGTGCTGTCTAAAGCTGCTTTAAACCGATGAAAAGGTGGTTGATGTGGTTACGTGATTCTAGCCGAGTTAAGAAAAGCGCACTATAACCCTGATAACGTCTATTGAGGAGAGATTGAGTCTTTCAGACAATATGCTCGATAGGACCTTATATGCTATATTTAGGAGTGTGATCGCCCGGTAATTTGCCAGGGCATGAAGTCCCCATTTTTATGGATTGTGCAGTGCATACTTAGGTTCCAATTGTCGTACATGCTTTCGCCAGAACATATTTTGCAAAAGTGAGCATGTACATATCTTGTCGGCTCTGCACCGCCATATTTGAATTGCTCTGTCGTAAGCTAACAACTCCAACCGCTTTGTTGTTTTTCAAGCAGAAGATGTCTATTCGTAGCCCGTCATAGTTGGTCATCGATATGGGAATCGGGCTTACCATCTGCGGTGTGCGGTCTTGAAACTTCCTCTGAGTTTCCACATCCATAGAATTCTCGAGCACTATCATTGTAGATCACCTTCTCAAGATATTCATATTCGCCCATTTCGGCCTCTCTCTCTTTTTGTATGAAAACTCATTTAATTCCCTCTTCAGCAATCGTTATCTATCACAACCACGAACGTATTGTGGTCCACTGCAGTACGATATTTCTCCTCGTACCAGCTGGCACTGCCGAAATCCGTAGCGGCGGACGTAAGGAATTTGAGATGTCTTTTCACAGTGCCCTTGAAACGAGTCGATGATGAAGGCTCACATTTCAAGATTTACTGGATTATTTTTTCATTTTGGTGGGGACCAGACTCTACACGCAAGCGGAGGAGAATCACCTTCGCCCTTTAGCTCGCCTCCAACTCGATGTTTATTGGGTATGATAATGTACTGCTTGCTCCATATGTTAAAGAATAGTATTGAAATGTACATGGTTGACTATTAGGTAGTGGTAGTAGAAGTAGTTACTATTATCGTCCTTGTACTCAAACTAAATACGAATGCTGTAAAATGAAACTAAATAATTGCTTACACCTTTTCATAATGCAAATAAGTCTGCCGAAATGGTGAGATGAGATGAACTTACTGATCACACTTTTAATCTTCATATTGTGTCCTCTAAAATAATTATCAAAATATCCGAAGTAAAATAAGTAAGTTGACTTAGAAAATAACTACCAAATTTTCAAATTCAACATTCAAACTAGCAGTGCGCTTCTGCATCCATCTCCCGGTGTCTGACATGAGCGTGAAATGCATATACATAAATATGTCTAATGAAAATTTAAAAGCTATTAACTTTTAGCGTTGAACATCTCTAACGGTCAAAGTGCAAATGCATTTAGAATATCCAAGTTTTTTTGCACTCATAGTAATTCATAATTTTTAACACGAGTATAAGTAGATGTAAACAACTTTAGAGTGTTGAAAAATAAACAGTAATAACATTTATTTACACGGTTTATAGACCCTTATATGACCCCACCATTCATCAGTGAAAATTTTGAACTCGAAAGAGAGAATAACATTTTAAAAAGCTGAAGCTCAGCTGCTCGTTAAACATTTTGTTCGAAACCTTGAAGCACACAAGTTGTGATATGAGACAGTAAAATAGTAAAATACTATAAAAGAAAAGCAAATAAAATATTTTAGGAACTTCTGTCCGGAATGAAGTGCTATATAATTTTGGTGTTATTACTCGTGCTCGGCTTGTGCCATGCAGATTTGCGTGCGTAGAATAATCCTTTCTCAATTTGTGCTAAATAATATAATATTTTTTCACTACTCAAACAGCTCCTAAAATAGAAAAATGTACCGCTGGTGATGTCGATTGCATTGCTAAACTTTTACCTTTTATTCTTAAAAACTACGCAAATGGAATACCGGAAATTGGCTTGCCGAATATCGAAAAATTATCACTCAACAATGTTGTTATCACTAGGGTAAATGGCCAGTCCCCAGTTTCGCTGAATCTGGAATTCAAAAAGATGTATCTTCACGGCATCAGCAATTCGACCGTCGAACGCTTGGTTGGCTTCGAAAAGGATCTACTCAAATCGAAATTCGAAGCTTATGTGACAATACCGAACTTGGTAGTTGATGGAGAGTACGAATCTAGTGGCAAAGTGCTGATATTACCAATGGATGCGACGGGTTATGCGAAAATATTACTCAAGAATACCAAGTTGAGTATGAAAATGAAAGCCGATGAGGAATGGAGAGATGGCAAACAGTATATGAAGATAAAGGCTATGAAATGCAAATTGATGCCAGAGTTGTAAGCCTAATTCATGCGTCCATTAGGAAAATTTTCCCTCTTACTTACATAACATTTATATTTTCCAGAATGCATGTGAAATTTGAAAATCTTTTTAATGGTAACAAGGAGCTGGGCGCCTCGTTGAATGAATTAATTAACGATAATTGGAAAACGCTTTGGTCTGATATGGAGCCACAGGTTAATGATGCGGTCATGAAAATTGTTAAGCACCTGCTGGAGAGCGTATTACAAGTATTGCCGTATGAAGATTTTTATCGAAAGGACTGAACAGTTTTAAATGCTCAATTATACACACATACATGTAATATGTATATATGAAGTTTATTTGTTAGAATTTAAGTGGGTACTTATACAGATTTGTGTATGTATATATTCCATAGATAATTTTAATAAATCATTTTTATATTAAATAATATAAAATATATTTAATATATAATATTTCTAATTAATATTTACGGAAATTTTGTGGATGATTAAGTTTTTTCTTTTTAATAATATCGAAATTAAATCAAATCTTGAACAATGAAGAGCAACAAATTTGACCACTCTAAATCTTTTCCAATATCTCACTCAATGCTACCGCTATCATTGGAATCTTTCTCACCTTGTCGGAATGATTAGCATCCACCTGGTGTACGCAACAAGCAGGTGGCTAAAAGATTTTTAATCCAAAGGAGTATTACCCTGTACCAGAATTATACACGACGATCAGTCTCAAATTTTACCTAGCAATTACCCCAGGCACTGATGTTCCTACAGCACGCCTACGTGACGGATAAATGGGTTGATAACGCTATACTTCTTATTCTTTACTGGCGCAGACCAGCATAGTCGGCTAAAACTCTCTCCCTCTCGAAAACTCCAAACGCCGACTCATCAGATGTTGACACTGTCCATGAGTACGCATCAAATGTCAGGGCGGGAACTATGAGCGACTTGAAGAACTTGGTTTTCGTTCGATATGCAATCGCCTACTCATTCGAAAGTAGAAACTGTTGGCAAGAGTGATACTGCGTTGGATTTCAGGGCTGGCATTGTTGTCGGTGTTAATGTTGGTCCTTAGATAGACTAAATTATTAGTTATGACTGTAAATAGTGATCGAGGAGCCGAGTCGCGTATGCGATGACTGTTTGTTTGCTGACTGGATATATCTCGTCTTGTCGTCGTTCCCTACCAGACCCATTCGGTTAGTTTTTTATCCAGACTGGGGAACGTACGTACACCTACAGCTAAGGGCTCTTATAGAAGATTGTATCTTCTATATTCAGCTCTGCATAATGTATGTAAACCTCTTACTTAATTATGGAGTACTGCTATAGTGCAAGACATTAAAGGTGAAGAGACGCATTTAACCTGTGGTCCGGATGCAACATACCTCCTTGCTGAATATAGCTGCTTCAATGATTACTACCTCAAAAAAGTCATTCTTAATATCATTACAACTGATACACGAGTGGAGTATGAAACAGCGCTAACAGCTAATCGCCGAAAAGGCTGAAATCTAAAAAAAACAGGTCTCGGACTATGAAAGTCACGAAATCGGAAAACGTGCAATTTAATCGCAACATTTTAAGGGATAAGAGCAATCCGGTGGACCTGCCAGAGTCGATGTAAATGCAATTTGCATTCTACTTTTACATTTGCTAAAATAAAAAAATTGTTTGTATGTAGATTCTTTATAATAGCGCGGTATGTTATTGAAGACTGATTTGATAGGCTGTTCGTCACGCATGTGCTCCAACTTGCAGCGACAATACGGTTTGTGGCACAAGGCTTCTATCAACGATCTGTGGGTATGGGTTGTAAAACCCATTGTTCATAACTAACATTTTTATTAAATTTTCGCTTGCAAAGAGTTAGCACACGATCGGTTTAATTCTGACACCTAAACCGATAAATTATGTTTCGAAAATAAAACCGATATTCAAATCAATAATCCGAATGTCAAACACTTTAGGCAGAATTTTGTCGGTTTCAATTATGGCTGTGTTATAAAACTGACCCTGAATAATTTTTGGGTATTCGGTACTTAAAAGATGGCGAGTGAAGGCCTTAGCTTCAATCACGTTAAGCGTTAACCCTTCGGCAATTAACTACATCAAACACGCTAATTCTGCGGCAGCGGCCTGGAAAAGAAAATTCATCAGCCTAGAGGGCCAGCAAGAAAAGGGGTATTATTTCAGGATTTGCTAAATCACAAAGCAAGAGATGCTAGCAATATATCCTCGTACATCAATTCTTTTATGGACATCGTAGAAAAACTAGCTAAAATAGACTTAATTTTTCCAGAAGAATCTTTAGTTATAGTGTTACTTTCGAATCTGCTGAAGTCTTATGAGTCTTTTATTGTCGCGATAGAGACGCGAAACAACTCACCAACGCAGAACACACTTAAGGTAAAGTTAACGGAAGAAAGTTATCGTAAAAGGGGACTGGAACGAAATGGAGAAGGTAATGTTAGTGAAGAAGCTTATTCAGTGCGAGACAATGGTGAGAAGGCGCAAGAACAAAAGAAGCGTGCAAGAAATTCATATTGGACAAGGACATATTGCTGTAAATTGAAGCCAAGCGGAAGAATTCATCAACGGAAAAACGAGATGAGCAGAATGCAAATCCAATTCTTGCATCAGCGCAAGAAGAAACCCTTGGAAAAGATGATTGGTGCATCGACAGCGGAGCGACATTGCACGCATGTTGCGATAGGAAATAGTTTGTTACATTAGAGAATCATACTGCAAAATAACCGTTATATACAAGAAAACTTTAGGTGGAGAAGACTCTACTATACAGCAAAAAGGAAATGATATTTAATGGGGATAATGCTAGCACACAGCATCTTGTAAGTTATCCAGTTCACCACGCGCATAGTAAACTTATCGACATCAGATATCATAATATTCGCGAAGTAAATATATATGTAGCTGATATTTTGGCCAAGAATCAATCAAAAACTAAACATTTGAAATTTGTTGAAATGTTAGGACTTTCTTAATATAATGTGCATATGTATTGTATATATTATTTATTTCAATGGATTATGAGTAATTTTAATTATACATACATATATGTACAACACTGATTATTTTCTTGAGAAGGAATGTTGGAAGTCAAAAAAATTGGCTTTGTATTTTTTGTATTTATTAAATAGTTCACATTGAAATAACTGCTCATTCGTTCGAGAACAGTCAATCGAATCAGTTTATTATTTCCAAACTTTTTTACTAAATTTCGTTCCATTTATATTCATTTTTATTCAGCTGTATAACCTTATTATAGTACAGGATTATCCAATAAAAGGTGTTATATTTACATTAAAAAAAAAAAGGGCCGCCTTGTTGAAAGTATCAATACCAAATCAATACCATCCAATTTCGACCATAAAAAATCATTAATCCTCGCTGGATAGCGCAAGCCATTCATTTTCGAAATGGTTAGGCCTAATATCATGTTGAGTATGGAGAACAGTAAATCTTGGGTTTTCCGATCCCCAGATGCGGCCATGATATTTTTTTATAGTGAATTATAATAATTTCAATGCGTTGCTTGAGCGTGTATCGTTCCATTTTTATTGCTGGCTTAGTTTTTTCTTATCAAATGTCAAAAAAATACAACTTCAAAAGTTACATCTACCAGAATAACAGGCTATCCGATATAACACCTCTGATTGGAAGACTGTTTATAACCACTTAACCGATTTTTTATTGCGCTTTGCTTCTTCAGATTTTCAATTATTTTTTGGGGTTTTACATATAGTTTCTATACAAATGGAAGTCACAGTCTTCTGGCGCACCTGAACGGCTCATAGTTTTTTATGAGAAGCCATCATTCTATGATATTTCACTCCCTGCTTAATGGTGACTGCTCTTAGAAAAATTATTTTAAATACCATATTTTTTTTCTCTCCTTCTTCTATTTTTAAGGAAGAAATATTTATTAATAATTTGACGAAAAATACTCTAAAGTGAACATCTTAATAATTTAAAAGCGATCTGCCGCGATCATTATAATGGCCATGCTGTTGCAAGTCGTCATAAAATATATGATCGTTGAAAATTTCATCTCGATGATAATAGTTTTGAAATCCCTTAACTTTTTCACCACGTTGAAAATCGTTATGTTCGGCAAAAAACTTTTCTGCTTGCTCTCCTGGAAGCATTCTCCCAACAGAACGACTATTTGAAAGGCGTTTACTGAGCTTTTCAATAGCAGATTTGGCACCAAGGTATTTAAGGACAGAGTCTTTAGGAGCTTCTCTATCTTCTTCATTTTCGACGTCCCCAGTACGACCAGAATAGTCCTCATCAGATGTTTGATTTGAGTTTGACACGATGAGATCATCCTGCTCATCTTTTTGTTCTTCGCTCGCTTCCTCATCATTGTCTCTTGTATTTTCTTCAAAGTTCTCCGTAATTGGCGTTAGTTTTGCTAAAACATTTGTCTGGCTTGTTTCAAGCAATTTTTGGTCTGTTGCCTTGTGCTCAAGCGGTGATATTGTGTCATGCACCGGCAATGTGCGACTATTATCTTTTTTTACGATTCCAAAATGTTCTGTGTGGTATGAAGATTGCGGTTGCCTTAAAGCTTTGGTATAAGCACAACTTCTTCCTGTGCCCATTCTTATGGGTTTTAAGACTATCATATATGGACGAGTCTTACGGCTTTTACTGAGCTTTTTGTGTTTTTCTTTGTGCCTTCTAGGCATTTGGTATTTCACTTTAGTATGCAACGGATTTTTAATTGTTCGTGATGTCGTTCCGTTATCCCTTTCTTCTCGGTAAGTGTTAACGATTGTACAAATTTCCATCTTTTCTGGCGTTGGTATAACGGAGATGTTTTGAAACGGGCACTGCAGAATGTGGTATTCCTTTGATATACTCGCAAGTGGTGCTGGTTTTGTCGGCAACTTATAGTAAGCGTGTAAATTCCGTTCCACGATAATTGACCGCACAACAGCAAACTCACGTAGGAAAATTATGAATAATTTTGCGGTGATGAAAGCGAAATTTAAAGTGACTGACATGATATGTTGGTATTCTGTTGAAAGAAATCACTTTACTCCACGAGTTTCATACGGCTTTCTAGCTTTTATACGAATAAAGTTTCATTCATACAAATTTACATTGCATCTATTGAACGAATCGGGAGAAAAAATAAATTAACCATTGTGAAAATTGATTTTTGCGGTTTTCTCTCTTAATGCAATGCCAAGTACTCAGCCGAAATTAAAATTTAATATCTTATCCCAAAGCCAAAGGTGATTGGAATTCTTTTTTAAAATGGGGAAAAAATTAACATGGCTTTCGAATATACTAAAGGATTTATGCCTGCGATAAAATGAATAAATTTTATATCGAACGAGCTGGCGAAAGCTAGTGGTTGCCTTATGCTGACAAGGAACTCCGTCTCCTTTTTAATACAATATTCTTTCGCCTTTGGAAGTAAATGTGATCTTACCACGGCTTGGAGGTTACGAGAATACAACTATTCCACGCGGTCGGTGCTTCATTTAACATTTGTTTTAAATAATATTAGGTCGACAGCGGAGAGTGTGTAATTAACAAATCAAGCATACATAAAAGGGTGAAACTTAACCACTATGTGAAGTAACGGCGTTCCAAGAAGAGGTACTATTATCAATAGCCTTTTTATGACAGATCACGCGTGAGTCCTGTCAAGCTGTCATATTATTTTTGTTCAGTATTGTTTGGCATTACTTCGTAGAAAGACTTATGCCTGAACAACGTTTACTAATCATTCAACGTTATTACGAAAATTGTCGCTTACTTATGGTCAACATTGCTATTTTTTTCTGGAAGTGTGCTTACCGGTAGAGTTCTTTGAAATTATTCGTATTAGGTGTACAACTTTGTTTCCGCTGTTTTTTTTTTCCAAAATTAAAAGCTTTATTGCGAAAATGTGCTTACAGATATATTATTCAAAGTATTGTCCTTCGCTAGCGACAACTTTCTCCCATCTTTCTGGCAATTTTCGGATCCCGGCTCGAGTCGTCTTTTAAAGCTATACATGTAGCAATCCATTTTTCCAATTCGTCGAAGGATTGAAAATGTTGATCTGCCAGGCCGTGTGCCATCGAACGGAATAGGTGGAAGTCAGAAGGGGCGACATCTAGGGAATACGGCGGGTGGGACAAGACTTCCCATTTCAGCATTTCCAGGTACTTTTTGACCACTTTTGCGACGTGAGGCCGAGCGTTGTCGTGTTGGAGCGCGCGACTAAGGCGCATCAGTTGCGTTCGGTAGTGATCTCCTGTGATGGTTTCACCCGGTTTTAAGAGCTCGTAGTAAATCACACCGAGCTGATCCCACCAAATACAAATCATAACCACCATGTTTGTTTTCGACATCGAAATCACTATTTTTAAAACGTTGAAACCACTCCCGACACGTTCTTTCACTCAGAGCAGCATCACCGTAAGTTTCTGAGCATTCGATGCGCTTCAGCCGCATTTTTTTTCGAATTGTAACAGAAAAGTAAAACTTCCCGCAAATGGCGAGAATTTGGCACATAAACGGACATTTTGGAGCGTGAATAATACGAAAACAAGAACAACTGACACTGAAACGGCGATGACAATTCGTTAGGCACTGTCCCCACTCACTTTAAAGGCAATATCATCTATGTATTTCAACCGGCCTCAGCCGGTGCAGCCACCTATCGGAAAACGGCGGAAATGTACACATTAACTGATTTTTGATATCCATATAGTATGCAGGCAGAGGATTTTTATTTATTTGTTCGTAAAATTAATCTAAAATCTTGTTTTTCAAATTAGAAAACTTTATTGAAAAAAAAACTGGCAATGCAAAACGTTTCCAATTTTTAAAATCTGTTTGAATCATTGAATTACACATACACCCAATTATATTATTTCTTCACTTAACTCAGTAGTGTTTGAACGTACGTATGGCTAAGATGGACTCTAGCGAAGAGTAAATACGCTCTATTATAAAATTTGAATAGATTTTATTATCCTGATACTGTAAGAGGCAATCAAACACAATTTTGGTTTCCTCGAGCTCGGTCGGGTAATTTTGATCTAAAATATGATCCGCGGTGTGGAAGACCAATTGATGAACATGTCGATAAAATAATGGAAATCGTCGAGTCTGACCTTGAGGCGAGACAGCGGCTAAACATTGTACAAAAAAAACAATTTGGAACTACTTAAAAAAGACTAGATACACAAAAAAGCTCGATGTATGGGTGCCACATGAGTAAATGAAAAAAAAACCCGATGGAGCGGATTTCCATCTACGAGTCGCTGCCAAAACATTACAAAATCGGCACATTACTGAAGCGAAAGGTGACTGGTGATGGAGTGTCGATGACTTACAGCAACGTTTAAGGAAAACGGTCGTTGTCGAAGGACAGTTAGCCGGCGGGTGGGATTGGTAAGGAATCATCCACTATGAGCTGCTCCCCTACAGCCAAACTCTTAATTCGGACCTGTACTACCAATCAGGTGTGTTATAGAAACCGACACTGAATTGTTTATTTATGGGAATTTAAAATCAATATATTTCAAACGGTGTTAAGAAACCGAATTTATTTTGCTTTTTGCTTTTTTCGAAGATAAGCAAAACATATTTTCGAATCAGCTGTAAGCACATTTGTGCAAAAACCCAGCAATTCAATTTAATTTTTATACTAACAAATAATAAAAACAAAATGACTTCGGCAGTGAAAGCTTTTTTTGATACTAAAAGGATTCGGAAAAAACAGCGAGAAAATAAAGCGCAAAATATTAAGGGATAAGAGCAATCCGCTGGACCTGCCAGAGTCGATGTAAATGCAATTTGCATTCTACTTTTACATTTGCTGATACAAAATTTGTTTGTATGTATTGTAGATTCATAAAGAAGCCTTTGTAATAGTGCAGGATGTCATTGAAAACAAGTTAAATAGGCTGTCTATCCCAACTGTGTTCCAACTTCCACCGACTCTGCGGTTTTTGGCGAAATGTTCCAATCAACCGTCTGTGGGTAATGATCCAAAAATATCCTTAAAGCGACCTATAGTCTCAGTGGCTTTAACAGAAGTACTAAAGGCATTTGTACAATTGATTTGCACACGTTGGATGAAGTTAGGAAGGAACGACAATCAAAAGCGGAGAACTTGTAACGCCAAGTACCGCATTCCAGGCATTACCGGTTGTAAAACCCATTTGTTCATGACTTACAATTTTATTAAATTACCGATTGCCAAGGAAATCAGCACACAATTCTGTCAACGAATAACTACTCAGTTTAATTCTGACAGCTAAACTGATAAATCTGTTTCTGTAACACCTAAAAACGACACAAATTCTGTTTCGAATATGAAATCGATATGAAAATCAATAATCGAAATGTGTAACCCCTTCAAGAGAATTTTGTCGATTTCAATTCTGATTCCAACAACAATCTGTTTCTGTAACACCCCTGAATAATTGGGCTGTCTGAAGGAAGCAATCGCGCAAAAGCCAACTTTGGCTAATAGGAAGGGAACTGTGTTTCATGGCCATTACGAGAGGAGGTTCATATGGATCCACCTTATAGGCCAGACTTCACACCAAGTGATTACCATCTGTTCTTGTCTATGGCGATTGAGCGATTGACTATGGTCAATAAAGCTTTCAATTTGATGCAAAAATAAAGGATACCTTTTCAATCACCAATATAAGAGGTTACTTGACTCTAAAGGCCATATGATAAATTAGTCTGTTGAGTTGGAATCTGTTAATCTTAAAATATGAAATGAAGTCTTTTGATCGGCACCAAATAAAAATTACTGTATATTTCTGTAAATGGATATATTTAAAATTTTATGCAACAGAAAAATTTACATAACCTTAGTTACTAGCTATATTACATTAAAAACTATACGAACATATGTATATATGTATGTGTACGTATATATTCAAAGCACACATTTAATTGCATACAAAATAGCCACAGAAGACAAAATAATTTTAAGCTTTTCGAAAGTCTTTAATAATATAAAATTTCTAATAATTATTTTCCATATTTTCAATACAATCCGATTTAGTTATTATTTAAACATAATTTTTAGGATAAAAAGAATTTAGCGTAAATTTATAAACATAAGTGGTAGTGTAATCATGCACACATGAACATATTATTTATAAACTATTTTGTAAGGAAATATTTCAAAAATTATTTTAGGAATTTTATTATGATCAATAACAAATAAACCCGAATTTTAAAAAAGTTTAAGTAACGTGTAGTTAAGTTGTTTAAAATTTTGCCGGTTCCTACTTAAAAACTCACAGCCTTGCCACTTGCATACATACTCGTACGTGTACAAACATCTTAAAATTTATTTTTTTTTTTTGTACAGATTTTTAATTGTCTTTGAAATACATTAATGTTCTATTAAATTTTAACAACATCAAATAAAACAGATAGTGATTTACAATAGATCAATTAGGAAATAAAACAATAAATTAATTTTCATTTTTGGAATTTAAAGGAATTTTATGTATAGTATATAAATAGTTTGCTTTTACATTTAAATATCAACGAACTCAAATTTTTTAAAAAGCGTTTAGTTCAAGTAAATAATAGTTCCGTTCGGTGAGCTGATGGGCATTAACAATTTTTACTGATGCGCGTTCGTGCGGCATAGAAAAAGTACATTTTGCAACATTTGAGCGCCATTTTGACAATTTCTCACCGAACAGAGTTAGTGTCTTTTAATTTTGAATTTTCTCCTACTCAAAGCCAACTACAGTGATATTATATAAGAATAACAGTATTTCCTCGCAGTCATTGGCATAAAAATATGTTCACATATGTAAGATTATTCGCTAGAATGAGTGATATGTCTTTAGTACTATGTAATTTATGTTCAATACATTAAAAAAATAAAATTTTGGAACGAATAGAGCCTGCGAAAAAGTACATATAGACTATTCGAATACTACTTACTTTTTAAATGCAAAAAAGGAATGGAAATTTCATTTAAAAAATCAAGAGAGAGAGCAGCTTTGTTCATATATACATGAAGTCTATATACCTTCCATGAATATAGTGACATTTTGGCATTGGAGAATCGTGAGAGGTATGCTCCGAAATAACGGAGTTTCCAAAAAATATAAAGTAAACGTTGCCCAGACTTATACATTCCAATGTCGGCCATAAAAATCATTAATCATCGCTCGATAGCTTTCGAAAAAAGTAAGGCCCAATTATGTGGTAGACAACAAAAATCAGTGTCACACTCCATCGGCCAAGGGAGGCAGGGCTGACAGGAATGGCCACCTTTGGTTGCAAGAAGGGATGGAAGTCCTAAAATATTACCAATTGGTTGATGAGCGATCCGTTATAAGTTTTTGCATCATTACCATTTTGTAGTGCCTATTCAGAATAGGAATAATTCAAATAATATTTTCAAATCATATCAAATCAAAATGCTAGAATATTGAGGAGAAAAACTCTTTTTCGGAAATCAAATAATCCAAGCTAGAAATCTCACATATGTAAACATAGATTAAGGCCACCAGATTTCATACATGTGTGCAATAATAAATCATCTAAATGCATTAAAAATTATTTTAAAGTACCAATGATATTTATGCTGTGACTGTTGTACTTTTTCATGTAAAAATATTTGAACCAATTATTTTTTTTTTTCTATTCGTTACCTCACTATTTTTCATTGCAGTTGAGGTATTTTCGATCCGTGGCTTGAGAGCAAAAAGGAAAATAAAATCCTTGCATGTTTAAATTATTCATCTAATCGGGGTGTGTGTCAAAGAGCTATTGAAAATGTGAAATTATCTAATGGTTTCTTGTTCTTTCCAATACATTGTGTTCAGATAGAAGAAGAAATACAATATTTCAACAAAACCAGAATGTTCGCCTTTAAAATTTAACATTTAACATAAAATAGTTTTCGAGGTATTTTTTATACTTTTGTCATAAAGAAAGTTACAGAAAGTTTGCCAATAAAATACTTGTCGTTCACTATAGCAATATAATATGAAAAGAAAGCATAATAAATATTTGAATACATAAAACAGAAACGATAATAAATTGGAATTATATAAGCGCCATGCAGCGCATATATGCTGCAGATCGAGAATACCCCCCAATGCATGATTATGATCGGAAAACGAATTTAGCTAACATAAGAACTTGTATGTGGGTGTTGATGTTGGAATCTCTAAAAATAAAGCTAAAACAATTATAAAAATAATCTTTGCTATGCTAGCTAATGATGCTGGAACAGCCGTGACTATTTGCTTCACTTCTGCTCACAAATAAAGTATCATCGTCGCTGTCATCGCTGCTACACTCAATGCCACACAGTAGTGGCTATGCATCTTCCTCCTCGCCGAAAGGAACATCGTTTTCCTGATCAACGTTTGGAGAAATTCTGGAAAATAAATGAAATTTTTATATTTTAGTATTATTATATAATATATATATCTATCATGTGAATAGGTATGTTAAGCGTGAAATATTATATATAAGTCAATTTGTATTTCATTTTGAAATAATAATGTTAAATCAGTTATTATAATAAATTTCTATTCGTTTCTACCCGAAGCGAAATGCTGTCGGTAATGTTAAATCGTTAACAGATAAAGTTAAATCGTTAACAGATAATTTTAAACGTTAAAATTGAAGTGTGCTCTTAATTTTAAAATTGACGTTAAGGGGTACACCTAGTGTAATGGCCTACAAAAAGGTGATTTTGGGGAATTTAAAAAAAAAAAAAATACTGTATCAATTATATCAAAATTTTAAGAATATATTTATACATGTTTCTAAAATATACAGTGAAATCTTTGAAGGAAAAAATTAAATATATTTTAAGTTATAGTCGATTTCCAACGGCGCGAAAAAAGGTCCTTCACTGCTGCAGTGATTCCGGCCTTCTCCGTGGATGAAAAACAACAAAAAATTCTTGTTAAATTAGATGATATTATCTGTACGATAAAAAAAAAATCAAAAATTGACAATATGGCGGCGTTTTAAAAAATTGTCGAATTTTACCCAAAATTTTGGTCGTTTTTGGCCTGCCAAAATTCGATTTTTTGATCCGATCAAAAATCGATAGGTCATTGTACGGAGAACTATATATAGAACATGTAAAAAAAATCGATAGTGATCGAATCATTTGTTTTTGCGTAATCACTGCAGCAAATTCGTAAAATGCTGTTTCGAGAAAAACGCGTTTAAAGATAAAATGATCGTTTTCCCTCGTAGCTAATGAGACTCTCTAGCTGCCGAGAGGCTGCTCTTTAAAACTATTTGAGATATCGATTTGAAATTTTAATATGTTACCGAAATATGAAAAAATATCGATTTTTTTTTTGAAATTTCACACTAGGTGTGCCCCTTAAGGATTTGTTTGTCAAAATTCAACGATTTAATCTCGTTTTGATAACGAAACAATATCATTTCTTGTTAGCGAAACGAAATGATATCATTGCGTTTGTTGAGCAGCTCTAATAAATATCCCCCGTGCAACAAACATCTTTCAGGACCAATTTATTATTCAATATTATATATCCTCAAACATTTTCTTTAAACTTCCATAAAGAAAACTTGTAGAATCCATTCGTTTCACTGTGGTTACTATCGAATTTCCAATGTTTTGTTTAGCGACTCTAAAGAAGTCAAACAAAAAAAAAATAGAGCTATTCGGTTAACGGGCCATAGAGACACCCCAGGTATCTACTGTGAAGATGAGTTGACCGGGTAGAAAGCAATCACAAGCCCGTGAAACTCTGCACATGATCTAGGTATACCTACTTCTTCGGATACTTATTTGTTAAGACCAGCACTCACCAGAAGGACCAACAACAGATGACAGAGTGAAACCACGTACAATGTACATGTACATTGATCGGAGTGAAAAGAACTAAATCACTACTTCTTCTAAATATGACCTTCATAAGCATAACAACTGGCGTATTAACCTGGCCTGTTGTGGGGACGTATGATAGAAGGATGTAAGTGCCTTCTGTTATTGATTTCTTTAGGCATCGTTAATCTCCTGAATTACGTAAAATACACCTAGTGGATTGAGCATCTGGAATAGTGAGAGGAATCTTCTTCACAGAAATATCAGATTGAACTCAAAAGTGTTTGGTAATTTAATCGACTTAAACAACTTTAAGCGTAATTATGCGAATTTTATAATTAATTTGCGCTAGTCTAAAAAAAACCAACAATTATTTAAATAATAACCTGTCTGCTTATGAAATTTCGTTGAAACATCTCTAAACAGTTTTAGAGAAACAGAGATTGGTTTGCTTTCAAAGCAAATCCAGTCAACTCCTCATCTTCTTGAATTCGATTTAAATTTTGTTGGACCAGTCTCTTCTCTTTCTGATACTTTCTTGAAATTTACTAAAGTTGTCCACATATCTTTTATTTAAAAATGGTAGATTTTGCTTAAGAGAAGAGGGTAGCACGAATGTCGGATAGCTATGAAGCCAACTGCGAAGAGAGAAGGACTCAAACAAGCAGACACTAAATATGCGCCAGTACGCTCAGTTTGCTATAGTTTTCTCATCATCCCCACTCAAAAACATATATAAATATTAAAATTTGTGGCTGCGTTGAATCTTCGACTTATTAGGACAAATTTATGGTAATTAGATTAGGGTGTATATGAACTCGTCAATGTCCTTCTGTGCTTGTGTTCCTTTACATTTATGTGTATTGCATTCGAGCCCTGGCTCAACCTACATTTAAAGTTATAGAGAATTAATTCTTCTACTTGTGGTTGTCCGGCAGCATTTAATATCAAGCGCCCTGAGAGTATTTCTGAATTGAAATTAAAGCTCCTCATACATATCATCTAAATCCATATTAAATTTCCTATTATACTATATTTTGGATGTAGCTAAGTATTTCTGTATATAAAAGTGCATATAATGTTTGGCATTCAAATATATAACCGGCTGAGTTATTTTTTACCTACTTAAGAAGAAATGGTCAGAGATTAGTCGCTTTTCGCTACATAAATTATTTTATTCAAATGCGATAATAAATTCATCGAAAACCCAAATGCAAGTAGTTCGATCTACGCTTACGTTCAATTAGATTGGTATTTGGTCCCCATAAAGTCTCAAGTAAATCGAAATATAAGCCAGATTCTTTTGAATAGATCGGGTACATGTATATTTTCCAGAAGAAAAATAGTTCGCCCTGTTAAAGCTACCTACGGACCAGATTTCAAGCTAATCGAACAATAAATAAGATTTCTTCGAATAGATCGGTTCCAGCTCCACTTACCGGATGAAGCTTACTTTACTTTTAGTTTCAATGGGTCTGCTTTAAGCAGAAATAGTTTAGCGGTAACAAAACAGAATAGACCGCACACTGTTCTAATCTTTTTTTAGTGTCAGTACACTCTTCAACTAACTCTTTTCAAGTAATTTTTATATTGTGATTTAATTGTAACCACCGACAAGCATACTTCAAAAATTATAATCTATAATAAAGATTTTTTTATGCTTTCCTGCTTTCGAGCCTGGAGTTGAGTTGAGTTAAGTTGATGCCACTGTTGGTCCTTGACCAACATTAGGCCAATGGGGCCATTGGGATACAGCTGTGAGGCTTCCATCTACAACTGCTCAAATGTTCGAACCACTTCGCGTGTCTTATGAAAACAACAACATTACCATCTTTTGATGGAAACTAGTTCAGCGAGACGTGAAAGAAGTGTTTCTGGAGAGCCTGATGTCGCGAAGATGTCAAGGCGGAACGGTTACAGTTACTCTCCTTCGTCCCTTCAGATGTGGTGAAAAGTCATTCGAGTGATAGCCTATTCTTTTTGTGTGAACACTCATTAAATAATTGCCTCGTATTACACCTGACATTATGCTAATGGAGAATCGGTCCTGAAGGATAAGATGTCTTGATATTTTCGCGTCCAATTTTGACCATGTGGCCGCCATTAAGTGTTTGCTTTTCCGGCTCAAAAGCCGGTTTTAGCATAAACTATACAGTTGATAAATATATACCGGCAATAAAAGCATATTTATTGTGGATATAAGATTTTTTTCTCACAAGTTTGTCTGCCTTACAGCTGCGATGCCTTGCATCCGATCACCCAACCCACTGTATTGTATCGGAATTTTATTCGGATTGCTTCTACATTTTATAGCCACTTTTGAAATGGTATTGTTGCACTGCAGAAATCTGAAGACAGCTTGACCATCGGAATCATGATAGATTTTTGCAGACAATCGGCGGCTTCAATATGCAAAGAGTTCAACTAGATCCTCTCATGCTCATATAATTAAGAGCATTTTAGAGTGTATTCCACAATCCACCTTTCCATCGGGTTTTGAGCCGTCTGCAAAAACCACTATGGCTATTTTGCATAGACAAAAGTCGGCAGTTGACTCCGTGTTTTTTAGTAGTAATTTTTAAGGTGATCAAAACAGCAGGGTCATGGTACCAGATTAACATCTAAAAAGTATTTTTCTCAATGCCGCCGCCACTCGTCAAAACAATTGAGTACCTTCGAGTGTATTTCCAGCATAAAATAAAAACGCTTCAGAAAAATCGTATGCGAATTAGAACTGGAAATAACTAAACTTATAGCGAAAATGTCAAAACGCGATCGAAACATTTAATATTGTATTTAATAAGGATTCGAGAGTTATTGTAATATGAAGTTTTAAACAAATTTATGCCAAGTGATTTAAGCTTTACAAAGTCGGTCGCCATAAAGTTTGAGTGAGTTTAACAGTTTAAAAATAGGCTCAATAAACTTTGAAACATGTATGAGCGCTTGAGAAAGCTTTAAACGAGATTATTGCAGTCCTGCATGTGAGAATTCTAACTTAAACATTCAATTAGCAAACACCTGATTGCAAATAATATTGTGTGTACATACATATGTCTTTACATATATAAAATCAGAGATGTTAAATTTTTAAATTTTTTAAAATTCAGCCAAAGCTAGAGTAAATATTATTTTCATGCAAAACATTTTGATTGAATAAAATATCAACGTTAGTAGATATATTTATGTAGTACAATGCAAAGCAAGAAAAATAAAAATAGCAAGAACAAGTGAAGCGAAATAGTGTAGGCAACTGAAAAAGCTCCACTCAAATCAATGCTTAATTTTTATTAATTCGACCTGCAATCGAAAAATGGTTGCTATCACAAGCGACATCTTTTAATTAACGTTGGCTTTCGTTGCATTGGTATCAACTACGGTATTCCACAGAAATTCATTTCAGAACATTCCTTATTACAACAAAAAAAGCTTTTTCAAGTGGACAAAGAAAAGCTTAACTCTGACTAAAAATTTTGTAATTTTATACGTTCTAAAGCGAACAAAAATTTTATAAATACTACCATTATTGCCATTTCAGTTTTTTTTCAGCTACATTTTGGAAC